GCATATTTAAAAACCAGTCAAGTGCGACTCGGACTCGCGCACGAAGGGTTCCGTACCATTATCTAAATAAATATTTTTATATTGAATTAAATGTAAATTGCGGTTGTGTTTTTTTAAATTCATATTATTTGAAAATAAGATGACGTATTTAAAAAAACAAATTACTTGATCTCGTTAAAATCAACTTTTGCTAGAAGTTTGCATGGTAATGTACAAACACGAGCTTTAATCTGGGCCCCACCTTTGAATATCGTGTAGCAATCTGCTGCAAGCTGTATAAAGCTAATATTTTAATGCAACGTCAATGTCATAATGTTTACCATTGACAACTTTACGTTTCTAGGGGCAACCATGCAATTACGTCATCTGAAGCGACAGCAAAAGATCATTTCCGATATTTGTTTCTTAGGTTTTCACGCACATCACTCGTTAAATAAAACTAGTTTTTACGGGTTTATGCACGAAACTTTATTTATTTATTGACGTTTCGCAGCCTTTTCAGGTCTGCATCGTCAGAATATTTCAGAAATTGTCAGAATTCTGACGGTGCAGACCTGAAAAGGCTGCGAAACGTCAATAAATAAATAAAGTTTCGTGCATTAACCCGTAAAAACTAGTTTTATTTATCATTTCCGATGTTATGTTATGTTCCGTTTCCGAATTATACTTTGTAAAAATGTCACATTAAACGGTTTTCTTCACTGACACTGACACGAAATAGTATTTTGTAAAGAGGTTATTTCAAGGGTCGATTCGTTATGACATTATGTCATCAAAACACTATTAAACTAAAATTTCGACCTTATTGCATTATGAATTCTAACAACATTTAGTGGAAATGGGGCCCATATTAAATTTATAGACCTATCAATTTTATAGACCTATCCATACCCCACACGTAAAGATTTGATAAAAAAAAATTCTAAGTTCATAGGTTTTTTTTTCTATTTTTGTATGAATATCGTTTTTTTGCCATTTGGCTAAGGAACCCTAAAAATGGTGAGCAAAATAACTAATTGGTCTGCGTTTTTGTTGAAACGTCGACAATATACGTTACGGCTAGGGATGCAAAGTCTTTTGAAATATCGATATTATATCGATATTTATATCGAAGTCAGGAAAATATCGATATCCGATACATCGACCATTTTAACTCGATATTATCGATATATCGATATTTTTTTCTTTTTTTTTATTGACATTATAATACGGGCTGAGTGTGACACATTCATATGTTTGTTGGCGAGTTTCTCGCAAAATGCATTGAGCCAGCTTTTTCTTTAAACACGCTTGATGAAATCGCGCCAAGCAGGATTTTTTTTTGGCTCGCACTGTTTATGTTTCAGCCACGACGGGAAACCAAAAAATTAAAATTATTATCCTGATCAGATCACTCACATTTGTTAGCACGAATGCGCCAACCCGCATATGTGGGACGACATTTGCGAATGCCTTCACTAAGTTTTCACTACATTCGTGCTTTTCCAAGCTATGTCGGTTTTTTAGCGCACATCAAATACGCAAATTGCTTAGTCTCCCACACATCAGGGGCGTGCCCATGGCTTCAGAATAGGGTAAGCCCAAAGCTTCAAAAATTACTATACCTATCTTACTTTCTTGACTTGGCGAGCTTAAAAATTTACGATTTGTATAAGATTCTTAATTTTATTTTGTGTTATATTACAATGATATTTAATTTCAATTAATCAGTAGTTGACAATTATCTAGAAAGAGAGGCAAGGATTTTATTTAAGTGCATGAGTTACCATTAGGTATACGATTATACCTATATACGTTGGTGTCGATTCTGGCATGATTATCTAAACTTAAAACTAAATTTAACATCAGTCTCTCCTTGTCATTCTGTATAGAGAATGACAAGGATACACTGTTGTCAAATTTAATTTTAGGTTGAGAGAATCATGCCAGAATCTACACCAGTTTAGTATATTTCTTGGGGTTCAAGATTTTTTTAATACATCTATAAGCTGTTGCGATTTCAAAGCAATAGTTATTTCGATATTATTCAATTTAGATAGTCATAGCAGGTAAATTAATTGATATTATTGTGTTTAAATTTAGTCTACGAAATATCGATATTTTGGAATTTCCGATATCGATAATATCGATATCAGTGAATTTTAAATATCGATATAAATATCGATATTTTGGTCTCGATATTATCGATAGTATCGATATTCCGATATATCGTTGCAACCCTAGTTACGGCCGTCTACGTCTGTTAGAAATTCCCGTCTAAACGGGCATTGATAATATTGGGAAATTATTAAGCTAATAATAATACGTTAATTTCAAGAACCTTACTAATTGCCTGATAACTTTTTGATTTGATCTCATGTATAATTATAAGAATAAAACATTTTGTTACTATTTAATTTTAAACTCATTGTATCAGAAGTTGCTTTTTTTTATTTCGATCTCGATTATAATTTTATTATAATAATAAATACTTAAGCTTAAGCATCTACTGAGGTAGGTACCAAGTTAATTCGTTTACATTTTTTGATTATTTAACTCAATAAAAAATAAGAATTAAAATAGTTTTTTATTAATTTTCACTTTTATAAATAATACATACCCAAACCAAACAAACACATCCACTCAGACAGTAAATAAATTTTTTGTAAGGATGGCGCCCAGTTTGAGCATGACAAGTACAGAATTCCATTTTCCACTGCAGTGGAAATAGTGGGACAAATGTTTCCTCCAAATTATTACTTATTTCTATTGCGGCTAAAAAATGCAGTTGTCTTATTTTTAAAAAAATGGGTGCGTGTACTTATGTAAGCGCGTGAGAAGTTATCCTTCTTTGGCATCGTTTAAAATTAGTTTTTAATTGCATGCAAATAATTAATTACAATAAATTAATAAAAAGTCTGGAAAAGGACACAGTCAATAAAGTTCAGTTTTAATTTGAAAAAATAAATAAATAATCAAAATATTCAATTAAAATCGCTACTGAATATAATTTATTAGAACATATGTGATTTGCACTTGTATGAAACTCAAACACGTATTCCGAATATACAAACTAGAAACATGTGGATGAATATTATAAATATGAATACCTATAACTGTTACTTTATTACAAAAAATAAAGATGTAGTTTTTGGTTCTACTACACCAATGTTCAAGAGATGGCGCTGTAGTCTCCTGAATCGCGCTTTGGTTCCGTTGTTCCAGATTAATAAATACTTTTGATATTATAAATATGAATACCTATAACTGTTACTTTATTACAAAAAATAAAGATGTGGTTTTTGGTTCTACTACACCAATGGTCAAGAGATGGCGCTGTAGTCTCCTGAATCGCGCTTTGGTTCCGTTGTTCCAGATTAATAAATACTTTTGATAGGCCTTCACAATGCAGTCGTTAGCACCCACAAAATAGAGATTCTATTTCTATTTTGTTGGTAGATTTTCTTAATGTGCGGTAATCACAAAAGTAACAGCATGAAGTTGGTTGCTAAAGCGACCAACTTAATGCTGTTAATTTTTTGTGTTGCAGTGATGCGCGCGCATCTTAAAATTTCACTCTCATCATTTTTTCATAACGCGCCTAAAGAAGTATAACTTCAATAAATTTCTAAGGAGATATTGAGAATTACGTGCAGCAATCCTTGTTCGGCAAATATTCTATAGATTAATCTACAGAATAAAATAAAATCATAACTTCTCGTTAATTATAAAAAAATAAATAGAGAAAAAATTAGGCATCTTCCATTTCTACTACTCGTGGTGACCTACACGAATAATTTTCTGATAGATTTTTATTCCCTTCTCATCGTATTTATTCCTTATAGCAGTAACAAAATATGTAAGCCCAGTGCATGATCTGCGTAGATACATAATCATTGACGTATTCAGATATTTTTGAAAAGTTGTATGTTCAGATATTATTGACAGGCATCTGCTCAGATATTATTGAAGTAATGAATGTTCAGATATTTATGGTCACTTGTAGCGTATAGAACTTAATGACATTTTAACTGTTCAGATGTATTTGGTCACCTTGTATGCTCAGATATATCTGATGGCGACTGTCCCTCCCCCCCCCTGGTGAGATGTTGTAAGATTTTATTCAACCCCCTCCCCCATCCCCCAATCTCACGTGAGATTTTTCAAAATGTGGGTTTCTTACGTAAACGCGTTGGATTGTTATTGTAAAAAGAAAAAAAATTAAGATTACGCTTAAGGATAAATCTTACACATGTAAAATCTGGCTTAAATGGAACAAAATAGTATATTTTTATTGTTTCTATCAGAAAAAAAAATGCGTGATATTTGCCGAGACCCCCCCCCCTCTCCAACGTAAAATTAGATGAGATTTGACTCGACCCCCTCAGCCCCCCTTAAACATCTTACGTAATTTATGGACGCCCCCTTATGAATAGTGACTAACATAAATTGCTTACTAGCCACATTAAAGTAACTATAAAAGTGTCCGTATAATTTCCGAAGAGTTCTCTCGATTTCTCCAAGATCTAATCACCAGATTCTGAACGGATCATCATGGGACTGTCGGGGTATTGCCTTTCAACCAAAAAAAAAATCATTTTCCGAATTGGTCCAGGCGTCTTGGAGTGATCGGCATTTTATATACAAAAAAAAAATATTCTGACAAATTATTAAAATATATACTTATGTTGTAGTCGGTTAAAAATTAAATGGAGTTATAAAGAGACTTAGATCAAAAATTAACAAACAGAAGGTAATCAAAATTCTGATAAAACTGTTTATGGTAAATCATTTTAAAATAAAAAATAAGAAAAAAACACGAAAGATGAAGTTTGCGTAAATTTATATAAAAGTAGCGTGTGAGTAACTAAAGTGTGATTCGGTGCGAACATAGCCGTGAGTTCAGACTATATTTACAAGACCTGTTGTTTTTATCTATGTGAATGATACACATGTATATTAATGAAATGTCATGAACTGCGTCGGGTCGGGTATAAGGAAAATCCCAACACAAGCGGATAGTGAGTTGTTTTAGCTGCGCGCGCGCGCTTCCACTCCAATTCGTCCGTCTTTCAGAATATTATTGATGATAACCTCATATTAGTTGACTGGTTGCAAAGTCAGGGACGGCTAATTGTGCTATCAGTCGAACGCGAGCAGTCTTTCGGTCACTACCTCTCATATAAAAAACCTTATTTTATTGATTTCAAAATGTTCGTGAAGCAACCGTTGGTGTTCTTCGTACTGCTTGCTATATCACGGATTGATGCACGTAAGTTGACTTTTTTATGAATATACAGTGTAAATTAAGGCTTATTTAAGTTATGTGAACGTGTTGATACCGGAAGAGCCGGAATTTCAAGGCTTGTAAATACTAAATGCGAAAGTCATTGACGTTTGTATTTAACGCTATTGATCGTTGTATCTACGTTGATACGTAAATATGACCCTCGGTTATTGTTCTGAGATATTACCATCAGTGACTCTAATGATCCGGAATATTAGTGACCACAACATAGACAAGCGACGCTATCTGTTTTCAATTCATAGTCAATAACAGATACCGACACGTTTATTTATTTCTAAATTATTACTGCATTAATAATAAAGCGGTTTTATGACAGCCACAGGAAAAACTTATTTGTTATTTTGCCTAAAAATATCATAATAATATCCCACACCTTAAAAATTGTTTGACTGTTAATATCTGTGTTCAACTTAATTAGCTAATGGAATTCCTTCTAATTAAGTTTTAATTTACCTTGTTCTACTAATAGCTATGATATAATTTGGCTACCTTACAATGTAAAATATCAACTTGCACAATCTGAGCTTTATAAAAAAAGGCAAAATAGATAGACGTACGAGTACGTGACTAATTTTTGTTTCTCATTCACCGCTAACCGTTATAGGTCCATTAGAAATTTATATATTGTAAACCACCACAGAATTATTTTCTGTGTTGTACTAGAAAATATTAACATTGTCGAAGAATACAGTGAAGATCGAAAACTAGTTTGGATTCCCATATACATTATACACGTAATCAACTTCTGTTGCTAATTATAGACTCCATCGTGTTCTATAATAAAGTATTAAGGTATATATTTTATAAGGAATACTTATATACTTAAATGATAAAAATACGAGAATTGAATTCCAAACTCCCGCCCCATCTTGATATAGGTGAATTTTATTAATTTAGAATAAACAGTTTGTAAACACAATAAACGTACCAAACCAATTAAGCTATCCAATTCCATAAGTGATCCTTGGCCATGCATGTACGATTTTTTTCATGTTACCTAATATAAATCAGCAATAGTAACATGTAATTATTGCCAACCATAATATCAGTCAACATTTTTCGGAACTCGGCTGCAGCTGCATATGCTGTCTGTATCCGCAGCCGGGTTCGGAATGCATTTTATACAAATGCATATAAACCAGTTGTCCATCCGCAGCCTGCAGCCGAGATCGAAATAGCACCTTAAATCTTTAGTTATAAACATAATTATGATGAGAATCACATGAAAACCTTAGGTATACAGTATATTTTGAGATAATTGCTAACATACAATCAGACAGAGATATTGTTTTATATGAATGAGCCATTTTGTTCACGCACTGCTTAGTTGTTGTTTATACTATGACATGATCCCGTTGCTAAAGATATTTGTAACTTTTGATAGTAACTACTTTCGACACTGCACTCTTGATAATTACAGATGAGGAGCTGGCGAACAAAAGGGTATAATTATGCATCTGGTCAAACTACATTTTATTTTACAGTTCAGAGTTTTCGAGCCCGTTGAATTTGAATCTCAAAATATAGTGTTAAAATTATGTACTAAATTTATAAATTAAAAACCATGCCAAAAGCTCACTGTAGGTCATTCAGTTTTTTACTGCTCCTGTAAAATTGATTTTTAAGTAATTGTACCGTTTTGTTCGCCAGCTCCTCAGATATTAACCTTACAGTATCTACCTAGAGAATGGGGAAACCAAAATAGGTGGTAGCCTGATGAACTAAGCACAACGGTGCAGTAACTATACAAGTTACTTCCCGGAAAAACTCCAATTTTTGGTGGGTGACTAAAGATGTCTTTTCCGTTAATTAACTCTGGACCTTTTTTTCTTGCTCGAGTCTCATCAGCTGTTAGTTACTAGAGTTTCAAAACAATCTTTTGGTTCAGCGGTAACAGCTTATAATGAATGACAATTATTTCCATTTTTACCACACACTCAGCATCCTCATATTGTGTGTGCATTTCGCAATCTGTGGAGTTTGACCTACTTTTAACCATGACCTTTTTAACACGTTCTTGTCATAGGTAGTCCACTTTTATAGTTCATTACCAGTACTCAACCTTTTCAAAAATGTTTCAGTATATTTAACATCAGGGATCTCTCTCTCTCTGATGTTAAATATACTGAAACGGAAGCACCTCCGGTATCAAAAATCGAGCATTTTTATACCAGACATTTGTAAACGGATCTAATCTGTACTATGACCAATTCCTAGTTCCTCAGCTAAGTCGTAACTATTGAAATGCCGTTCTTTCCTCAGTTTTCTAGTACTGGCTTCGACTTTATCTATTACACCCGACCAGAGCAAGCTACATTATTTCACGTCTAAATGCTCGCTAAACGCATGAACCAACTTTGTAATACTTTTACTGATATCGGACATCGATGTCCGCCGTCTGACCGGTCGCCCGTCAGTCTGTCTTAATGGGCTACCAATGTCACGATCTTTACTATGTAGACAACTGAAATTCTCACAAAATGCGCACAGGTATTTCAACTGTCGCTCGAACCACCTCTAACGATAATTTATAAATAAATATGTCTCAAGGAAAACTGAAGCCACTAAAGTTAATGTAAGTAGTTGTGTCCTCATTGTATTTCCCCGTCATTATGGCGTTTAGTATTTAGTCAGGCACACATCAATTTACCCCTAAATGTAAAAAAATCTGAATCAACATTATGAATCGTAAATCAATCTATATATATAAATCAATTGCTGTTATATATATATAAATCAATTGCTGTTCGTTAGTCTCGCTAAAACTCGAGAACGGCTGAACGGATTTATCTTAATAGCTTGGTTCTTGAAATGTTCGTGGAGGTCTAGGGAAGGTTTAAAAGGTGAGAAAATATGGGAAAATTGCGAGGAAGATAGTAAAAACGTCACTTTAATTTTCAAACATAAACTGGTCTATCTTCTTTCCTGTCAAAAATTTGACTGACCTTCGTCCCTTTTGGTACCCGGAGACTCGGGTCCGTCATTTCTTCCAAATTATTTTAACCCGTACGAAGTACGCGGGTAACTAGCAATGAGAAGCTCAAACTCAAAATGTATCTTTGAGGTTTACCTTGTTTGTTAACTTGACTCATTGGAGTCTGTACAAATGCAAATATATGTTTTAATATCTCAATGACACAGCTGATACATAATAATAATTCAAATATTTTTCCCCCTGTCTAGTATAATATATACAATTAGATTCATACTAGAAACATATAATGCGCTAACTACTTACTAACTTTTCTGTAACTAAATAATAGAACATTATTTCAAAACGTTGTTAGGGGTAGACAAATCTGTCTCGATTCTTTGGGTGAAATTAATCTCGTGGTACCTCACTGGTGTAGTCGCATTATATTAAAAATCACAAAATTCATACAGCAAGATGAGGAGATTGACCAGTTTTGATCACTCAACCGCACATTAGTTTCTGAATTGGCCTCCGAATAAAAAACACAGGCGTACTTTTTGTAGCAAAATTAATTCGACGTAGGTTATTAATTTAAGAGCACTGTGCAACAAAATTATATGTATTCGAGATAATACGTTGATGAGTAGTTACATAAAAAATGGAAAGTACAAATTTATCACATATTATAAGGCTGTGTCCCCAGTAAGCAAACTGTCAGCGGCCGACTGAGTTAGCGGCGTATCGGTTTAGTACGCCCTTCCATATATTTCAAATGGAGTGTTCACAGTTTGCTAGTTTTGCGCTCACTGTACGCAGTTTGCAGCGTTACGCGCGCCGACTATCTTAGTGAGCGGCCGACTCCCACCAAAACCGGTTCCAGTCGGCGGCGGCGATTGGTTGTTCGCCGGGCGTAGTGACTCAAACTGATTATTCGGATAGTTGGAAAAAAGCTATCATCGTGTTAGGACGTGTTTTTTTGCATCGCACCTAACTAATCTCAACGCACACACACATCACTGAAAATCCAAGATGTCCTTTGATACGGAAAGGTTCATTAGTGAAATACAGAATAGACCATGCATATGGAACATGTCGAGTGAAGAATACAGCAACAGAGTATTAAAGCAGAGCAATTGGAATGAAGTCGCTGAAATTATATACGATGATTGGCAAAACTTAGAAGAAAACACTAAACAAAAAAGAAGTAAGTTCCATTCTAATGAATTTATTATTTATTCAACAATATACTTGTATCACTCACTACATAAAACAAAGTATCATAATTTACATAGTATTTACGGCTTTACACACTCCGTTACACTATTTCTTCCTGTAGCTACAACTTACAAATATTTCTCTTGCCAGGATAGCTTTCCTTCGTTAAGAAAATAGTTTTTAAAGTTTTCTCTTGTTGTTTTTCCAGAATTTGATACAGTAATAATTTGGCTCCTTGAACTTGTAAGAGTTGTTGAGGTACGTCGCGAAATATGTGCATATTGTGCTTGTTCTCTTGCTATGACAAAATTATGTAAAATACAAACGGCTTTTACGATAGCGATGGTTGTATTCACATTAGTAGCGATCGGTGTATGCAGAACTCTCCATTTGCTTGTTAGGATGCCGAATGCACATTCCACGCATCTCCTAGCTCGACTATGACGATAATTGTAAATTCGCTCTTCCTTATTTAAACTTTTATTAGGAAAAGGCCTCAAGATATGCTTTTGTAATCCAAATGCCTCATCTCCAAGAAACACTAAAGGTTGGGGCAATCCATTTGAATTAGGCAATTTAGTTGAGTTAGGAATCTTCAGAGACCCACACGCCAATTTTTTGCCAAAACCACTTTCTTTAAATATATTACTGTCAGCATTTCGTCCGCAAGCACCTACATCAATAGCTATAAAAGAACAGTTTGCATCTGCTACGGCTAACAGAACAATTGAGAAGAACTTCTTATAATTAAAATAGTTAGACCCACTTTTTGGTGGTTTTCTAATACGGATATGCTTGCCATCGATAGATCCTATACAATTAGGATAGTTGGTTTTTTTATAATATCGTTTTGCTATTTCTAGCCACAATTCTTCAGAAGGTTCCGGCATTTCCTGTGGCTGTAAAATATCCCATATAATGCATGCAGTTTCACTTATTATTTTCGATACCGTCGATTTTCCAACAAGAAACTCTTGTGCAATTTTTCTGTAACTTAGTCCACTTGACAAGAATCTGGAAAGAATATTGAACTACCGATTATTTCTGTTTCAGTAAAAGACCTACAAAAAAAATGGAAGGGTTTGCGCGACTATCACACCAGAGAAAAAAATAAGGATTCCTCAGTCAAAAGCGGAAGTGGCGCAACAAAAAAACGCAAGACACCATACTTGGACATGTTACAGTTTTTAAATGTTTCTAGAGCTAGCAACCAGACATCTGGCAATATTAGCGCCGAGACGTCTAGCGACAGTAGCGCTATTTTAGATGAAAATGATTCTACTGACTCGGTAGTTAATGTCAGTAGACCAAAAAAGATGACTGTGTTTCAAGAAGCCCTAATTAACTCGATGGAAAAAAAAAGAGAAAACGATCCAGATATGAACTTTCTACTAAATATTTTACCGGAAATGAAGACAATGTCCCCAACACAGAATTTTGAATTTCGGTTCGAAGTGATGAAAATTATTAAAAATATAAAATATAGTGTACATAATAATTATGACGGTGGTATGATGCAAACTGGATGGACGAATGCCTACCAGTACCCACATCAGTATGGCTATGCGAGTGGAAGCAGCAGTACACCAAATGTGCAAAACTACCCTCGAAACAGTCCATCACATAGCTCTACAGGTTCTTCAGCGGAAATAGAAGACATAGAAGCAATATTGCGAGGCGATTCAAACCACACTGAAGATGAGGAATGACAGGTTACCAACTTAATGTTACCATATATGTTCCTAATTCAATTTAATAATACAGTAACTTTGAAAAGTGATTGTTAAATTAAAAACTATAAATGCGAAAGTGACTTTGTATTACAATAAAAATAACATATTTTTTTAAAATCCTAAAGCGTTAATTATTTACTTACCTCAAAGTTATAGTAAGCCGTTCTTCGGGACATAATGTATCTCTTGTGATATTATTTTTAGCTATGTACTGGGTTATAGATTTCAACAATTCATCAAATGTATGAGAAGTCATATTGAAATAGTCGTAAAATTTTTCTGGATGTTTCCTTAGTTCTGGATAAAGAGTGTGAAATTGTCCAATGCTCAACCTTTTCTTGTATAATGGGTGAACCCAGTGCTTCCTTTTATCCTCTTTCAGCGCTTCTAAGATACCAATTACTTCAAAAATATCCATCGTGACCAACACAACCACTCCCTTCGTACAACAAAAGTAAAGTGATAATTAAGTCGGTCGGCTAAATAAGCGGCTAACTCTTAACAGTTTGCTTGCGACGCACGAAAATTGATTTGAGTCTGCAGCTAACTCAAATTTCAGTTCGCTGCAAATTTGCGGCTCACTCAGTCGGCCGCTGACAGTTTGCTTACTGGGGACACAGCCTAACAGAAAGATTATGGCGTACTGGCGCTGCGCATCGAGCGAATATCGCATAACAAAGTACCTACGCAAAGACTGAGTCCATAATCTGCACCTAAGTTTTTTTAATAAGAAATCATTAGATATTCAGATAAAACCTAAAGCAGAGCAATACCCACTGAGATAACTTAATCAGATAAAATATTCAACACTCAAACATCGATCAATTACTTTAATCAGTTTTAAATAGCGGGATTTAGAAACGGTATTTTGTTTCAAACTTGCCTGTCTGCCCATTATCATTATAGTAACGGAGTCTTTTTTATTTTGTCCCTATATTATTAAAAGAGTCTAATAAGGTTTAGAAAGTCACTCCATCGTGATATTGCTGGTGCATCGCGATATAGCTGATAAGGTAGGTAGGTACGGTTGCCATATGAGGCCGAAGAACAAATTTTTGACAGCTCCGTAAAGTATGGCATCATCAAAGTTTCTATGAGAATTAAGCAGTATCAGTACCCCTAGCATGAACCAATATCAAATTCGTATCGTTTGCGAGTCCGAAATGTCATTGTCAAATGTGTACTGATTTTTATTTCTCGTTACGTACTTTGTGGCGCTGCTGTTCAAGTTTCCATACAAAATTTGTCATTGACATTTAGCACTCGCAAACTATTCGAATTCGATAGGTAATGGTTCGTGCTAGAGGTACAGAAGTAAGAACAAACTAGCTTTTTCCATACATAATTTGGTGATGACGTTACGTTACGGAGTTGTCAAAAATTCGTGTCCGGGCCTCTGATCAGCTTTGACGTTTCTGGGTCGTGTCTGGTAAAATATTTTTGTTTTAGCTTTTCGGTCCATGTTTCGTAAAGCGCAAATTTTTGGGTATGAAAGAAATAGGATATAATGACCGCCATTCAGGATGTCTCTGCTCAGAGTGGTTAGCGCTTTCACCAACTTTCTTAGTGGTTGGTCATAGAATAAGTGATCAAAAATTTATATCTACAGCTGCTCTGTGCTTCGGAAGGCACGTTAAGCCGTTGGTCCTGGCTGCAACGGCCTGCAGTCACACTAGGCTTTTGTTTGGCTGCAGTTGACAGTAATTAAAGTATGCTTTAATGTCATTATGTATGGGTTTTCAGAGAGCTGCCAAGGCGGCGCGCAATGCGTCATTATCCAACAGTGCACATACCTGTATAGACAGCTTCAACAAGGGAGCAACCCGCAGCTTACGATTCTGTTACGGAATCTACATTGTGGGTTTCAGGATGAAAATCCAAAGGTACACATATAAGTTAAATGTTCAATGAAATCTGTATGGTTGGTTTCTTTTATTATCTTATTTTATTCATTATTCGATAGTGGAAAAGCAAAATCTTAACTTAAATGCCACTTTAGTAACTTTACAGAAACGAGATTTTTTTTCACAAAAAAAAAACATAACTCTTTGTAAATGAGAAGTAGCGCTATAAAAATAAAAACATATTTATAAAATAATATTTTCTAAATATCTTCCTCTTAAAAAGTTAAGATGTCGCTTCAGCGAAGATCACTCGGCCCGCCATACATTTGCCATTGGTTCAAAAAACACCAAAATTTATGGCGCTTCAAAATTGTAAACAGTAAAAATCGCCAAGAATTTGGTTGCTTAAGCGCCAAAAATGTACTCAAATCTTCACGAAACTTAAACAGATCGACGCAGAAAAAAACGGACATTTGCTGTTCACATGTGATAGAAGTGAAACCTACAAAAATTTGAACACGTAAAAGTCCTTCATGACCAGCATAGATATTCAGGAAGATTCAATCTCACATTCTTATGTGAGATTGAATCTTACTTTATTTATTTTATTTTAATTATTCAGATTTTCGACCAATGTCAATAGGGTATTTAACAAGTTTTAGAAAACGATATTCATCATTCTGTTGTGTATTCCAGTAAAAAAAACCAAATCAAAAACTCAATTTTCATGTTGCCGCGAAAACGTTTCTCTGGACAATATGGCGCCTTACTAGTGTGTGACGTCACACGACTGTTATTAAAACGTCAAACGATACAATGTAATGTCACTTTAACCGGAAATTTACTTGAGTGTGATGTCATTTGCGTTTTGGGTCACGTGACAATAAATAAGAAAACTATTATCTTTTTCGTGGGTTTTTAGTAAAATTATGATTTTACTAATTTTTTTTGTAAAAATAGTAAAAATTCCTGCCATTATTCATTCTAAACACAGAGGCTAACAATTGGCACTTTATTTTTAATACTGTCAAATACCCTATTACCTAATACTGGTTGCTTTTATAGATACAGCGACATTTTGCCGTGTAATGGCGTAATGCTCATCAAACTTATGTCACCTTGTGAAGTACTCCCATAATACCTGAGCGCTGAGCCCCCTATGTAGGGTTGAACTAACTAACTAAATTAATTCCCTTGTTTTAGTAATATTCGTTCGTTATAGTTCTTGTACCTATTTAATTTAAAATAACTAAAGACCCCCGGGATGGAATTTGATGCGCTTTGGCACAGATGATCATGATTATAATACCTTTCAAACAAATGTAGTTTAAGCCGTGGCGGACGTTGGTGCAGCGTCCATACATTTTTGCCCAATGTCCTTTGTTTTCTTTATTCATTTATAAAAGACTCACAACAGTTTTTTATAGGGATGAAGATTCGATTACCACGCCGCCCGCGTCTTTATTGGTTACCAGCTATTTTTAATTTTATCTCTTTTTTATTATCTTAGTTTTTAGTCAAAGTATTTATCTATATATAAAAAAAACTGTAAAAAATTTGCAAACATTGGTATGGTAACGATTGCTGATAAAAATCAGAGCCGTATTAATAAACAAGTAAGGCACCTACCAAACATTTAATATTTAACTATTTAGGTATTGTAAAATACTGGGCAAAATTAAATTATTGTACTTAAATTGTTTCCAAAAGTAATAGCTTCATTTAGTAAAAGAAAAAAAAAACAATTAAAATTGACATCCTAACTCAGGTTTCGAACCACATACTCAACTTCCGTTTCATCGAATCTCAAATCACATCGTTGTGACTAAAGAAGTTTTCACTCCAAAAATCTGATTAAAATGATATACGTATAACTCATTTTCGACCAAAGTGGCGTATAAGAGGTTTTTCCTTTCCACTGACGATATGTTCATAAATTATTGTTTGAAAAATGTTAACATTTTTTTATGTAATAATGGTGGCAAAAATCGATATGGCCTGCCTGATGGTAAGTGTCTACTTGCTTTTTTTTGAGTGTGTATGTTGTTGGTCGCTGATGACCTTTACAGCGTCACCGGGTTTGAGGACGGCGAAATCCTAGGGAACCTCAAGCCGATAATTGGCAAGTGCCTCTAGAGGTATTCCAGGCGGATGGCATCTCCCCACGGGGAGTTTCCTCTCCGTCTGGAACCTCTAGACCACTCGAACCAGAAGGGTGGCCGCTTGCGATGACGTACCTACTGAACGTCATCATTCGCGCGTTTCCTACCCTAACCTGACCCTATCCCCAACCGTGTGGAGCCGTTAAATCTTAATTACTACCAGAACATACATTACACATGTCATCACAAAAAAAATAGGTGGGCAAAGTCAACTGAACTATAATTAACTACAGTTATGTTTTTATTGCAGATCTGCTGTCCCCCAGAATTATCTGAACAGCAATTCAGTAGTAGGAATGGAGGAGCTCCAGTGGATCCTCACAGCTTGCTACCATCACTTGCTCAGTGTGGTACACAGACTGACGACAGGATAGTCGGCGGAACTCGTGCAGAAATCGACGAACACCCCTGGATGGCACTCTTAAGATATGACAAACGTAAGTACTTACTAATAATATCTGGTACCTTAGTATATTAAAGCAATTATGTAGTATTATAATTAGTGGGGCTTTTAGGATTAACTCGAGCGCGGCAGCACAGCATAAGGCAACCTTGCACCTTGTGAAGTACTCCCACTATACCTGGGGGCCATTCGCCTAATGGAAATGCTTTGGAAAAGCGCTAACGCTTACGATTTCATTTTGTTATTTCTAGCCTTCTTTTTTCTTTGAAAACCTTCGACGGTCAGTCAGAAATAACAAAATGAAATCGAAAGCGTTAGCGTTTTCCATCGCATTTCAGTTAGGTGAATAGACCTGAGCCTCAAATCGGGGTCGGACGGGAGCAAAAATAAATTTCAACAGTCGGCCATGACTTTAGGTTGTATTCAAATCATGTCTTTTGAATAGGAGCTAACTGAATGGTTCACGTAACATCCCTTCTCAGTGTCTGACGCGCTCGAATATTTTTTACCTATGTTCTACCCCTTCGTACAGCCCCCACACCATGCAAACCGTCAGATTTATGATTTTCTGTCATCAGAAACGTTACGTGAACGCTTCCCTTAGCTCTTATTTAAAAGAATGACACGATTTGGACGCGACCAAACGTCATGGCTAATTGTTGATTTTTTTGGTTTGCAGCCCCTATCGTTCGACCTATAAACTCAAACTAAATCTGTGTAACTTTAACATTCCAAACGCAAGAATTTTTACATACGCTGACGACACAGCTATAATTTTTAGCGGTTCCTCATGGGAAGATGTTAATAGAAATGCTGAGGTGGGGCTCGCTGGGATTGCTACTTGGCTGGAAAATAACTTACTAAACAGCAACAAAACAAAATAGGTATGTTTCACTATAGATAAAAGAACACAGCCGTGTAGTGACTTTCATATCAGGATACATAAGTGTGGTAGTCCTAGAAGCTTTAACTGTACCTGCCCGATCATTGAGAAAACTGCACATATAAAATATCTAGGTATTTTAATGGATCAAAATCTGACATGGCATACTCATATAGAACAAGTCCTGGTAAGGGTTAGAAAGCTCATTTGGCTCTTTAAAACACTCCGATATGTTGCAGATAAAGCACTTCTAAATAAAGTATATGTTTTATTGGCCCAGTCTATACTATGTTACTGCATTCCTATTTGGGGTGGAGCAGTAAAAACAAAATTATTAGATTTAGAAAGAGCACAACGATATCTGCTTAAAGTAATGTACTTCCTGCCATTCAGATTTCCCACTGATAAACTGTACAAATATTCCGACTTATTAACTATAAGAAAATTATATATACTCAACTTAATACTAAAAGTACACAAATCATTAAACTATGATCCGAATATAGTCAAGAAAAGCAGAAAATATGCTGTTATACCTATAAAACCGGCAAAATCTAGTTTCGCTAGAAGACAATATTGTAGACAAAATGCTATTCTTTACATTATCTATCTATACTTATAATAAATCTGTAGAGAGGTCAATTCTGTACATGAAATATATTTTCAAAATAACTATCAGGGGGTGATAAGTGATCGATACTGATGCCAAAAATGCAATCAGTAAAATTTTTGTCTGTCTGTCTGTCTGTCTGTGTGTTTGTTCCTTATAGAAACAAAAACTACTCGACGGATTTTAACGAAACTTAGTACAATTATTCTTCATACTCCTGGGCAGGTTATAGTATACTTTTCATCACGCTACAATCAGTAGGAGCAGAGTAGTGAAGGGAAATGTTGGGAAAACGGGAGAAGTTACTCCATTTTTTAAGCTTCCGTCGCGTGTGCAGCCTTAATGGTTAAAGTTACATAGAAATCATGTATGACGGAAATATTCTACATAAAATTTTCTAGAAAATATCCCGCAACCGCATATGTCTATCTTTTATGGTTGACTCACAATAACACGTGTAACTCATGATAGCTTAGCAGTTCGGAACATTCTGATTATATTTGTTTACTCTTACGTTTATAATACTCTCACTTATCCATAATTTAAAAAAGTTAACATTATTACCTATGCAATAAAAAAAGAATCATAGAAATCGGTATAGAAACACCAAACTTAAACATGAAATAAGCCATCGTGCCGTCGCACGTGAATACTGAATCATGCTTTAAGGATTATTTTTGTGTAACGGCTGCCGCGCTCGACACGGGTCGTGGCGGCGCGGTAAGGTATAAAAAGGCGGGAGGTCCGAAAGCGAGCTTCCCCGCCCCCCCCCGATCCTGAGAGACCTTCAGTCGCTCAGTCCCAAACCGATACGGATGCACATCAGGGTGCATCCGTCCTCTAAGCGCACTATGCAGTAGTATTTACTAAGGCAGCGCTGCATCATCCCCTTCTCAGGGGTTGATCGCATCAGATGAAGCCTGTAAGGCCCCTAAGGCCATAGGCACCCCCCACGGGTGTGTTTTAGTCAGTAAGAGTCTGACATAACTCTACAGCCGGCTGTAGGGTATCCATGAGGATTTCACACCCGCTCCCCCGCCTGGGAGGAAACAAAAAAAAAGAAAGCGAGCTTCATTCAATATTTGGCTGTTGATGCGTTCAGAGCGTTCGACCTTATTGACAGACAATAATTGATATTGAGAAACCGTGCTTATCTTAGAATAAAAACCAAACATTTGTAAACAAAATTAGCAAATAAATCATGTAAAACGTGTAGAAAATGAGTACTGGAAAACGGAAATATGAGAATTTTAGTTTGGTTATAAATATAGGTAACAAAAATGACCGTTATTATCTATACTTATAATAAATCTGTAGAGATGTCAATTCTGTACATGAAATATATTTTTAAAATAACTATCAGGGGGTGATAAGTGATCGATACTGATGCCAAAAATGCAATCAGTAAAATTTTTGTCTGTCTGTCTGTCTGTCTGTATGTTCCTTATAGAAACAAAAACTACTCAACGGATTTTAACGAAACTTGGTACAATTATTCCTGATACTCCTAGGCAGGTTATAGTATACTTTTCATCACGCTACAATCAATAGCAGCAGAGTAGTGAAGGGATATGTTGGGAAAACGGGAGAAGTTACTCCATTTTATAAGCTTCCGTCGCGGGTGCAGCCTTAATGGTTAAAGTTACATAGAAATCATGTATGACGGAAATATTCTACATAAAATTGTCTAAAAAATATCCCGCAACAGCATATGTCTATCTTTTATGGTTGACTCACAATAACACGTGTAATTACATAAATAAAGTCATTCTTTATAGCACAAGCCTGAGAACAAAAACTATAGTTTACACTACAGCTCTACACCGAAGCGAAGCGAGGGCGGGCCACTAGTCTATATCTATACTTATAATAAATCTGTAGAGAGGTCAATTCTGTACATGAAATATATTTTCAAAATAACTATCAGGGGGTGATAAGTGATCGATACTGATGCCAAAAATGCAATCAGTAAAATTTTTGTCTGTCTGTCTGTCTGTCTGTGTGTTTGTTCCTTATAGAAACAAAAACTACTCGACGGATTTTAACGAAACTTAGTACAATTATTCTTCATACTCCTGGGCAGGTTATAGTATACTTTTCATCACGCTACAATCAGTAGGAGCAGAGTAGTGAAGGGAAATGTTGGGAAAACGGGAGAAGTTACTCCATTTTTTAAGCTTCCGTCGCGTGTGCAGCCTTAATGGTTAAAGTTACATAGAAATCATGTATGACGGAAATATTCTACATAAAATTTTCTAGAAAATATCCCGCAACCGCATATGTCTATCTTTTATGGTTGACTCACAATAACACGTGTAACTCATGATAGCTTAGCAGTTCGGAACATTCTGATTATATTTGTTTACTCTTACGTTTATAATACTCTCACTTATCCATAATTTAAAAAAGTTAACATTATTACCTATGCAATAAAAAAAGAATCATAGAAATCGGTATAGAAACACCAAACTTAAACATGAAATAAGCCATCGTGCCGTCGCACGTGAATACTGAATCATGCTTTAAGGATTATTTTTGTGTAACGGCTGCCGCGCTCGACACGGGTCGTGGCGGCGCGGTAAGGTATAAAAAGGCGGGAGGTCCGAAAGCGAGCTTCCCCGCCCCCCCCGATCCTGAGAGACCTTCAGTCGCTCAGTCCCAAACCGATACGGATGCACATCAGGGTGCATCCGTCCTCTAAGCGCACTATGCAGTAGTATTTACTAAGGCAGCGCTGCATCATCCCCTTCTCAGGGGTTGATCGCATCAGATGAAGCCTGTAAGGCCCCTAAGGCCATAGGCACCCCCCACGGGTGTGTTTTAGTCAGTAAGAGTCTGACATAACTCTACAGCCGGCTGTAGGGTATCCATGAGGATTTCACACCCGCTCCCCCGCCTGGGAGGAAACAAAAAAAAAGAAAGCGAGCTTCATTCAATATTTGGCTGTTGATGCGTTCAGAGCGTTCGACCTTATTGACAGACAATAATTGATATTGAGAAACCGTGCTTATCTTAGAATAAAAACCAAACATTTGTAAACAAAATTAGCAAATAAATCATGTAAAACGTGTAGAAAATGAGTACTGGAAAACGGAAATATGAGAATTTTAGTTTGGTTATAAATACAGGTAACAAAAATGACCGTTATTATCTATATCTTCTATACTTATAATAAATCTGTAGAGATGTCAATTCTGTACATGAAATATATTTTTAAAATAACTATCAGGGGGTGATTAGTGATCGATACTGATGCCAAAAATGCAATCAGTAAATTTTTTGTCTGTCTGTCTGTGTGTATGTTCCTTATACAAACAAAAACTACTCGACGGATTTTAACGAAACTTGGTACAATTATTCTTCATACTCCTGGGCAGGTTATAGTATACTTTTCATCACGCTACAATCAGTAGGAGCAGAGTAGTGAAGGGAAATGTTGGGAAAACGGGAGAAGTTACTCCATTTTTTAAGCTTCCGTCGCGTGTGCAGCCTTAATGATTAAAGTTACATAGAAATCACGTATGACGGAAATATTCTACATAAAATTGTCTAAAAAATATCCCGCAACAGCATATGTCTATCTTTTATGGTTGACTCACAATAACACGTGTAACTCCCGATAGCTTAGCAGTTCGGAGCATTCTGATCATATTTGTTTACGTTACGTTACGTTTATAATACTCTGACTCATCCCTAATTTAAAAAAGTTCACATTATTGCCTATTCAATAAAAACAAAACATAGAAATCGGTATAGAAACACCAAACTTATACATGAAATAAGCCATCGCGCCGTCGCACGTGAATACTGAATCATGCTATAAGGATTATTTTTGTGTAACGGTTGCCGCGCTCGACACGGGTCGCGGCAGCGGTAGGGTATCAAAAGGCGGAGGTCCGAGAGCGAGCTGTCTAAATCTGTTTTCTGCGTCGCTCCCCTCCCCCCTGGGGGACGATCGCTTCCGATGAAGCCTTAGAGGCCTTCCCGGCCAGAGGCAGCCCCTACGGGTGTTTTTTTAGTCAGTACGAGTCTGACATAACCTTGCAGCCGGCTGTAGGGTATCCATAAGGATTTCTCATCTGCTCCTCCGCGCCTGGGAGACCGAAACCGTGCTTATCAGCGCGACTTTTAGTCTTTAAATAGTTTATTTGAATTTCTTTTGTTGTTATTTTGTAAAATAGGTATTAGTTGTTTTGGTAGTGTTTAAATATTCGTTCAAATTAAAAATTATTAAGCGTAGGTACTTTTATTAATTAAAGTAGTTATAAGTATTTATTTTTAAGTGAAGGAGGTATAGGTAGATAGTATTGCACAGGCGTTTCAGCTTTATTTTCATTTCTTTTTTGTTGTGAGTTGTATATATTTCTGGTTATAATTCTATAAGAATATTTTAGTTTAAATAGTCACTTAGATTTTATGTGTAAGGTAGCTAAAGTTAGGACCACGTATTAGTTGTTTTGGTAGTGTTTAAATATTCGTTCAAAGTGTAATTTAATCATATAGGATGAATGTACGATGGCCCATCGAAAAGGAGTAGAAGCGGTAGACAGAACTTTAAGAGATATAAGTCAAAATGATCGACCCATGGGCGGTATCACAGTTTTATTTTGTGGTGATTTCCGACAAACCTTAACGGTAATACCACGGGGAACCCGAGCTGCTGAGGTTAGGGCTTGCCTGAAAAGTTCTTATTTGTGGCGTGATATACAATCGGTGCATTTGACTATAAACATGCGAGTGAGAACTGTAGATAACCCGGATGATCGTGAATTTTCTGATATATTATTAAAGAAAATACCTTCACCAAAGATACCTATCCACTGCTACACCAAGGAAAACTTATTCTGACGCCTAAGTTGTGTTGTATAGTGCAATCCCAACAACATCTTACATCGTCAGTTTACGGTGACGTAACAAATATATTAAATAAGGACAATTCTTGGCTATGCGAAAGGTCCATTTTAACTCCTCGCAATGACCAGGCATCTGAGATTAATAATAAAATACTGTCGAATATCCAGGGGGAAAGCAAAGTTTATAGTTCAATAAATAGAATGGCCGATGACCAAGAAGCCACTAATTACCCGATAGAATTTTTAAATTCTTTAAATATGCCCGTACTTCCTTCTCATGAAATTTGTTTAAAAATTGGCATTCCGATTATTCTGCTCCGAAATTTAAGACCACCACAAATTTGCAATGGAACTCGGCTTAAAGTAACCCAGTTGCAACAAAATGTAATCGAGGCTCAAATTTTAATAGGTTGCGGTGCAGGAGAAACCATCTTTATTCCCAGAATTCCCATAATACCAAATAATTTTCCATTCCAATTTAAAAGAACGCAATTCCCAGTATCGGTGTGTTATGCAATGACAATAAATAAGGCTCAAGGGCAGACCTTTGGTGTTGTTGGAGTAGATCTCGGTGTCAGTTGTTTTTCACATGGTCAGTTATGTCGGTCTTTCCCGGGTTAGCAGTAATAGAATTTTTTATGTTCACGTTCCGGACGGGTCAAATTTCAACGCAGTCTACCCGGAAGCTTTGCGCTGAAGTATTTTCATTCTATATGTACTTAAGACTCATGTGAAAGCGATCTAAACAATATTACCAATACATTAACATAATAACATACAAGGAGTTACACGCTGATGGTCTCGGGGCACAGTGATAATAATAATATTCTGCGGTTCCTTATTGAGATATTTTTAACAGTATTATATTTCCCTACTAAAATACGAAAGTTAATCTGTCTGTCACATCAAAACCACGGAACCCTGAGGAAGGACATATGCTACTTTTTTACGAAAAACGACGATAACGCGGACGAAGTCGCGGGCAAAAGCTAGTGGTAAATAAAGAACTTAATATTTATCCAATGACTCGTTATGACTGCTAGTCCAGTCAAATTACGGAATCAAATAAACATGAGCGAACACAGTTTGGGGATTTTGAGGATCGTTAGGGGGGTGCATCCTGAGCTTAAGTTCCAATTTGAGGGGCTGTACTGAGGTCAGCTCAAGGTCATTTCGATGCAAACGCGTTTAATTCGATATCTCGAGAAATATCAGTGTTAGCCAAAAAATTATAGAGACCTTTTTTCTTCTAAATGAAATTTATTAACTTTTTTATTTAAAACTTTTTTTTGTAACATCAATATTTTTTAAGTTATTACTCCCGCAAGGCAAAAATTTCATTTTTTTCCCTATTTTTCGTCGTTTTCTCCCCAAACATTCAATTTTATTGAATTTTACCGATCATCAACGTGTATATCTTTTAATTATGCACAATTTTGTTCTTAAACTTTTTTCTGTAACTTCAATACCTTCGGAGTTATATATTATTTTACCGAGCGAAATCCACGCCACTGTCGCAATATAAAAGGGTAAATCGATTAAACTATTTAAAAATTGGGTATTTAATTTGGGTAAATTTATGGGTTTGTTTGGGTAACAAGTAAATTAACAATTAAAACTGTTTCACACATTTATTGATACAAAAAATAGGTTATAAAATTCGGAAAATTAAGCACCCGAGGTCGAATAACTCCGAAGGTATTGAAGTTACAGAAAAAAGTTTAAGAACAAAATTGTGCATAATTAAAAGATATACACGTTAATGATCGGTAAAATTCAATAAAATTGAATGTTTGGGGAGAAAACGACGAAAAATAGGGAAAAAAATGACATTTTTGCCTTGCGGGAGTAATAACTTAAAAAATATTGATGTTACAAAAAAAAGTTTTAAATAAAAAAGTTAATAAATTTCATTTAGAAGAAAAAAGGTCTCTATAGTTTTTTGGCTAACACTGATATTTCTCGAGATATCGAATTAAACGCGTTTGCATCGAAATGACCTTGAGCTGACCTCAGTACAGCCCCTCAAATTGGAACTTAAGCTCAGGATGCACCCCCCTATCGATCCTCAAAATCCCCAAACTGTGCTCGCTCATGTTTTTTTAGCCCTTTTTTTCCGTAATTTGACTGGACTATGCAAGAAGATACTCATTGAATGGCTCAAAACTCTAAATTATACGGAAATAGAGGGTCTACTCCAAACTATAAAGTAGTCAATGAAAAATAAAAATATTATTATTGGTTTATTCATACACTAAATTTCTACTACATACAGAACCACTGTCTACGGCATGGAAACATTTACATTTACACAATAACATACTTATGCTCCTCATTCATATACACACACACACACACACGCACATACACACACCACATGCACACCCACACACACAAACTCCCCTATAACTATAGTTTTAGTTTGATGTAAATGTAAATTCATCTCTTAGCTTAATTCTTGTAACGGTGATGGAAGAGCGGTGCCTCCTGCTACAGGTATCGCTATAATTAGATAAATAGGTTAAGTTAAAGAGAATAAAAAAAAAAATTATTTTTATTTTATAAACCTATAAAGGGCTCGGGTATGGTGGGAGTATCTACTTTAGAAGGTGCAAAGTTATCCCCCTTATGTTATTCTGCCAAGCATAATTAAATCACTTAATCCCCGCTTGGGTTCCCCTACTTTAACACTCTACCGAGGAACTCAACCAATAAGAAAACAATTATTTAGCAACAAGTGAATTAATCGACTTCCAATAGCAGATTTAAATATTGGACCCCTTATAAATTTAAACGAATTCGAATCAGTGCTATTTAACATATATATATAAAAACATGCGCACAGACGAGTTTTTTATTATTGCTGTTTGCGCATAGGTAAGTAGGTTACATGATTTGGACCACTTTTGATGATTCTTAATACACTAAGTACAAATTTTGAGTTACATTGTTTTATGAAATAAAAAGCTGAGCTGATGTTGCTCCTTCTATAAAAAGCAAAAATAAAAACTTTTCCGACAGTCAGAATTCTGTGCTCTGTTATATTTTTTTCGAATTTTCCAATTTCCTAAGTATCTCTTTAGGCAGTTGATTTTATTTTACTCGTATCCAGATAATTATTAAATTATATAATTTTCTTGATATTAAGTGACGAATAGTTTCTGTTTTAAATATATTATGTAGGTATTTACATATATTGACATCTCAATTTCAGCTAGAGGATGGGGCTTCTATTGCGGCGGTGTCTTAATATCGTCAAAGTATGTTTTAACTGCCGCCCATTGCGTTAAAGGGGAAGATTTGCCTAAAAATTGGAGGCTGTAAGTATATTATTAATATTATGCAGATTTATCTGTCCAAGACCTTGTATCTAAGTGTCGCCGCACACGGGCCACACGCCACAGCCACAAACGCCGCCACGAGAAGCTAGAAGCGGCTACTAAAGTGGCTGAAGCGCGCGACAGCGGCCGACTAAGGTAAGGAAGAGGGAGGTGGGGAATCGCGCGAGTGACGTGTGGCGGCGTTTGGTATCGGCGCATTAAGTGGCCGGTGCGGGCCAGAGCGAGCAACGACGATTTGTAGCGTGTGGCGGCCACCGGCGTACCGTGTGTGGCGAGTCCATATAAAATGTATGAAAACTACAAGAAATGTGACGGTGGCGGCGTTTTGTGGCTGTGGTCGGTGGCCCGTGTGCGGCGACACTTATACCTACTTACCTACCAAAATACTTACTTAGGTACTAATTGAAATATGTCGCACCATTAGTGATAGTACAATTTAAAATACTATTATTTAGATAACTTCGATTTTATATGAATTCTGGGATAAAAACTATCTCTGTAGTGCCAAATTTCGTCGAAATCGGTTCAGCGGCTTAAGCGTGAAAAGAGGGAACAGACAGACAGACAGTTTTGCATTTATTATATTAGTATCCTTTGAAGTGATATCGGGGTTTTGCATAAAAGGTCTCTTTAGAGTCACATCGGGTTTTTGTCCATCAGGTCTCAAGTCCGTTTAGGCGAGTGGAACACGACCAGCTCGGTGGATTGCATCGACGCGGACTGCAGCGGGCCGCCGCAGGACATTGTAGTGGAGAGGGTCATACCCCACGAGGACTACGACCCGGCAGACATTCATCAAGCGAACGACATAGCTTTGCTAAGACTGCAGCACAACGCGGTCTTTAACGGTAAGACATTGCTGTTGTCTATGGGCGACGGTGACCACTTAACATCAGGTGGCCCGTCCGCTCGTCTGCCTTTGAAGGCAATAAAAAAAAGCTTTTATTATTAGTCTTACGAAAATACTAGTATAATTAAGAATTTTAATTTATTTATTTATTTGAGGCATAGGTTAGGTTAGGGCTTGAGACATAGCACAATTCCAGTCTTTCAAAGAGGGCATTGTAAATATAATTTTAATACCTTGTTCCGATGATATTACATATAAAATAGTAGCCTTAGTTTGAGAAAATCAAATTTCAATTGTGTTGACTGAGAATCAGAAGCGAAACATTTGCGAAATTCAAAGCTAAGACAGCTCTCATTATTTTCAGTTTAAATATTAAACCTATTATAAATAAAATAAAATATAAATATATAAATATTTCCAACACTCACACCAATTAGCCTAGCCCCAAAGTAAGCACTATAAAGGCTTGTGTTATGGGATACTAGGGTAACGGATAGAATACACATACTTTACATATATAAGTATATTTATATAGAAATACATATTTAAACATCCATGACTGGAGTACAAATGCTCGTGTTCATCACACAAATATCTGTCCCCACCGGAATGCGAACCCGGGACCTCTCGAGTCGGCGACGCCATGAAACCAGGCGTACAAACCACTCGGCCACGGAGGTCGTCAACGTCGTATTATGTTGGTAGTTAACGAACAATTAGAACAAGTTTTTATAGTAGTTGTATATTTCTAAATACCTATTGTTATTTTCTTAATTTTCAGACTTCGTGAAACCTATCTGCCTTCCAACATCGGGTGATATAAAACGTACCGCACTAGAAGGGTACGACATGGAAGTAGCCGGCTGGGGCAAAACAGAAACGCGTAAGTTAAATATCCAATTTAAAATCTATTCTTGCTAGACCATAGTGAATAGAGGACGGCAATTTACAATACCATGACCTGAAACCTACTCTGCCCCACCTGACGTTAAGTTTAAGTGCAGTCTATTTGTAAAAATATTTGCTACGACGGCAAAATCCAGCGCTGCAGCTATCCACACTATAAGTACTTGAACTTAACACATAAGTACTGTTGGTGGACACCTAAATAAATAAAGGATAGCTTTTTGATGCAGTCTTCGGTAGGGTGGAGCTGAAGTACTCAAATTTATAAAATTTAAGAAAGAGTTAAAAAAGGGTATGAAGTAATTTCTGATTTTGTTTTTTTGATAAAAGATTTCGGATTTATTAATGAGCCCATAAAGAAGAGGTTCAAACATTCAAACAAGAACAATCCTGTTTTTATATGTTTTCTAATACCCTTAAGGATTTCAGTATTTTTATATTTTCTGAATAACGATTTTATAATTTCACTACGACTAAGATTGAACATATCGGGCCTACGCTACTCCAGTGGCTAACAATTTCGAATAATATATGGTTAACAAAAATATACCTGCACCAACAATAATATGTTTGACCAAAGTGCTTTAATTTTTAACAGAGAGCGATACTATCCAAGTCGTTATATACAGCGGCGTCCAAAGTCTACTATCAGGTGGGCCGAGTTACCCCCGAGAATGTGCTATTTGTCTAGAAATAAGCATTTAATCGTTTTTAGCATTTTGGTTTTAATGTACTAACGGAACTTACTTCCCACTTAAGATTATTCCGCTATAACCATGCATGAGAAATGTTGCGTATTTCAAAATAATGAATTCTTCCAGCCTAATTTTAGAATAATAAGCAGTTGAAATTACAAACTATAATTGGACTACTTATTAAGCATGTAAAGCTTGAAAAGAGGTATTTAGGTACTTTTAGCTTTTTGAGGGTAGATTGAAGAATTGTAGCTATGCTTTCAATAAACTTATAAAACGGATAAAAGTCGGCTATGGCATGATAATAATAATCCACAATCCCCGTTTATTTATTACGTTTGTGGTAAAATAGACTATTCTAAAATATATATTTTTAAATTTGTTGTTCTTGCGAGATATAATAATATTATTATATTTATTTTTCAAAATACAAATCAAGTCTCTATCCAAACCCAGCTATGCGTACCTCGTAGCATGCTATCTGAAACTTTCAAAGCTGATAACTATCAATAAACTGTCTCTGTGAATGTTCATTACCTATTACTTATTACCTAATGTTGTGTAGCGGTGGACTGTAATAAGCTTAAATGAGATTTATGTAGAGAAACGACACGTAGCAGTAAATAAGTTATATTTTTATTTTTCACAATATCATGTTCGTATGCAGTAGTAGCAGCAGTGACAAGACAATAATAACGGTCTATCAACAAAGAACAATGTCAAAAGGTGACGTACAAAAGTATAAGGAATTTAAAAAATACATAATAATATCAAAAGAGTTCAGTAGCCACAGCAAGTCGCCAAAACCTATTATTACTAGTTTAATAAGTATCAAAGTTATCAAAAGTACAGATCGTATGGACGGGACAATCACCTAACCAGAAGAGAACAGGCCAAGTTTTAAATAATAAATGTAGCCGAGACCAACGGTTGCAGCGTCATCAAGAGAGCTTACGGGCATCATTCCAAAGACCAGTCTTTTCTTTGTTGCTTATACTTCACAATCGTACACATACCCTACCCCTTAACATATCAAACAAATAAACAGTGGGAGGAAATTGTAAACAAAAGAAATTGAACGTGCAAAAGTTATCACTTAAAAATCGTCTTGCCTCCTGGGTATACTTACATCTCTGTTAATACGCAAGTTTGTCTCACACAGGTTCCGAATCAGACGTAAAGCTGAAGGTGGTAGTGCCAGTGGTGAGCAACGCGCAATGTGCGAGCGTGTTCAGCCGAGTCAGCCGCACTATCACTGGGAAGCAGATGTGCGCCGGCGGCGTCGCGGGGCAGGACTCGTGCCGCGGGGACTCCGGGGGCCCGCTCATGGGCAAAGTGTCCAGCTATAGCAACTGGTTCGTGTTCGGTGTCGTCTCGTACGGACCCTCGCCATGCGGCACCCAGGGCTGGCCCGGAGTGTACACCCGCGTCACCGAGTACACCGACTGGATATTATCGAAAATAAAGCCCTAATTATACGAAGGATGTTCTCAAAAGCTACATTCTCTTTTTATTTTACTTTTCGTTTTAAATATGACTCACATCGTGACTGAAGAAATTTTATTTTTTAGGTAAACAAAAATTTATTGACCATAAGTTTTTTTTACCTACAAGTGAATCAGTGTGTCACAAATGTGCCATGACAATTGTACCAATTTACGGTGCACCAAATGAAGTACTGCTCCTTGCATTTAACTAGTAAACTTAATTATGCTCTAAATAAATTACTTTTACAGAATATTTAAAAATCTATTATTTTTACACGTAACAAACTGGAAATAATTAACTAAGCGCCTATCTTTTTAAAGTAAAAAGGATAGAAAACCAGCTGGTGGAAAGCGGCAACGGCACCTATAGTCTACAGACGCTTGTGATACTAATACCTAAACAATTTCGTGGAGCTCTGAAACCTTACTCGCCGGCAGAAACAACGCCAACAAAAGTTAGTATTATATTACTGTGGTCTTTTGTGAGAGGTGATGGTTTCTTCTCCAGACGCCCGTCTGGAAGAGAAAGCTCCAATTCAAGCGGAACGTTCGCCGTAAGTAAGTAGTCCTCCCGCCTTTCATCGCTCACATAATTGCTGTTTAAAGTCTGATTTGTTGGACCACTGTAAAAATTACTTAATATGCCTAGTTTCCCTACAGACATAGATCTAAAGTATCTTAAGGATTGAAGTGAGTTGTTTAAATTAATCTGCATTACCGTCGTATAATGATTTATGAGATCTTGGCTGGCACCTTTAACTTTCAGCCTCTCTGCGAGGAGAACCTTTGTAACATCGTTCCCACATATTTATTTTGTTAGGTTCGTTCTACGTACGGTAGAAGATTATATTAGATTATCTATAACAGAGCTACCAAAGGTTCTCCAATCTATTATGTGTACCGCTCACTTTGAGAATAAATTCTTTTGTAGCGCCACCAACATCAAATTAGATTTGATAAGATTGTACGGAACTTTTAAATTATTATTATAAAACTGTTACGTAACAATAAAAAGAGTGGTGAAACAGCATAAATACGAAATAAAAAAAAAATTTGAAAAATGCTTCGAGACACAGTATTGGGCATCGGCAGTCATTATGACTTGTTAACACAATATCTTCCAGATTAAGCTGATTCAACCTAAAAGTGAGGAGTAAAGGTGAAGGAGGAGGAGCTCGATGGCGCAAGTGGTTAGCGCGTTCGGCTGCGATTGTTGAAGTTAAGCAACTTTCGCAGTGGTCGGTCACTGGATGGGTGACCAAAAAATTTACTATCTCGAGCTCCTCCGTGCTTCGGAAGGCACGTTAAGCCGTTGGTCCCGGGCACGTTAAGCCGTTGGTCCCGGCTGCATCTGCAGTCGTTAGCACCCGCCAATCCGCACTGGGCCCGCGTGGTGGGTCATGGCCTAATCTCCCTATTCCATCCATAGGGAAGGCCTGTGCCCCAGCAGTGGGGACATTAATAAATAGGCTGATGATGAGGATGAACCTAAAAGTACTTAACTATATTATTATGACTAATGGCATGCGCAGGCGAAGGACAAAAATCCCTTAATCGTCAAAAAGGCATTTAAATGAAATTACAACATTTACTTTCTAAATTAATTTATTTATATAAATGTGTAAATATCATGTATTATTTATCTCCTAAAATGGCCTACACTTAATACTTTTCAATCCCTCTTCAGCACCAGCTATCACTGAAATAAATACATCATCCAACCTTCATCTGACAAATTATTTTTCTATTATGACTATGACAAGAGTTTACACAAATTAGGGTTTTTAGTCCGCAACTTGATCTTTATTACTATCAAAATAAGGATGATCCCATCGGCTGTAGATAATATTTAATGATTCAGACAATGTAAAAAAAAATACTACATTTTTTTTCTCTAGATTTATAAATGCTTAAAAATATGATAACCTATTTTTTACGTTTTTTCAAGTCCTGAGATAAATGTTTACATTTCAATCTTTGTATACTTTACATATCACTTACAAACAATCTATTTGTTTTCTATATTTTTATTATTTAGCGAACTAACCTTGGTCATAGAATGTCACTTTTTTGTAATGAGGTGTTACAATATGGCATATAATTTATTTGGCACCTTTTGCATGATTAATATTGTTAAAATTCATTTTATACAACTCAGTTTTATTTGACTACACCTTGGCAATTTTTGTGAAAACTATTAATCTTGACATTGGCACAATATTGCAAATCATTGTTATCAGAGCTGCCATTTGGCACACAATACTGCTGCATTGAGATAACTGAATAAAAAAAAATGATCTTCTCGATAATCCATACTAACTAACAGTTCAATGTGGTACTACTAGCACCTGCTAAAATATAAGTAAAATTAATGCATCTTGAAACAGATTCAAGTTTCTTTTTCATTTAAAATTTGTACAGATATGTCAAAATATTTGGTATTTTTATGTTAAATATTAGTTTAAATTGTACTGATCTCTAATAGGATATTTTATAAATAAATGCTCTTATAATATTATTCAAACAATAAATGTGAGATTCTTAGCTTACAGTACATTATAAATGGAATCATTTAACGGAATGTTAACTGGAATGATTAATTTATGCATTTTACAAAGCTACAAGTAGACATATTCTAACAAGTAATGATGAATTCAATTAATTTCATATAAATATAGATAAAAAGCTGTCAAGACATAGACTGTCTACATAGATGAGATTCCATAAAAATACCTATAAAATAAAATCCTTTAAAGACGCTGTGAAATTAATGAGAGGTCCTATAAATAAATGATTTCTAACACAAAATAAAGATAAATACTTATTGAATTAAGAGGCAGCTGCTATTTCCAAAGGAAGATTTTCTTGAGGGATAACTTGCTCATTTTCTGCTTCATTAGATTCATCACAAGCTTCCTGTTCATTCTTCGGATCTTCTTCATGTGTCTCCAGAAAACCATTAACATCTCCATTGACAGGTGGACCATTAGCAATGTAATTCTGCAATTTCTCTCCAAAGTCTGGATCCATGTCTGTAACGCCTTTCACAAGCCTATCTTGTTCTTCCTCTGCCCATGTAGGATACCACTCATTGAATAGCTTGATCTAAAACAAGAAACATTAAATTTAAGTATGTCTACATCTGTGAATTTGCACAATAGTTCAATATTTAGTACAACATTAGGTTTAAAAAATCCATATGAAAAACAGTATGATTTTAGCATTATCAATACTGCTGGTATACATAAAATCTATTTAATAACAAAAATACATGCATATAGGATTGATTAATAAATGTTTAATAAATACAAAATACCAGAGTTGGTACTTAGTAGTCTCTGAAGGTCAATACCGTTAAATATTAAACTTAACACAACTGTAAAAGATATGTTTGGCTTTTGCTGTTGTGATGGCAGCATTCCTTCTTCAAGAAAACTCATAACTTTCAGTACACTTATGTAAAAGATATTCAAACCATCAATATTTTTTTATTTAATAAATCACATGAGTCAAGTGGCATAGCTAAGAATATGTTTCAACCTTATTTAGATAGGCAAATTCTATCCTCAGATAATGTACATTCAATAAACTTATTGACATTGACTACAAGTATGCAAGCTGTAAATTCCTAAGTAACATTTCAACTACCATATTAAACACAACATAATACAATTTTGATACTTATATTTTTAATATGTATCCACTTTATAAACTTAATCAGTTTAATATTTCGTATTGTAATATAATATGGCATCTAATAAATCATTATTTTTGAACATACATTACAGTTTCTCTGGAAATGTTATACTTCATGTATTATTTCCTAAGCTCAGAATAAAACTGTTTACATTTTAATGCTGTGTACTAATTCATGGTTCTATTACTATGGTTAATTCTATGAAGTTTAACTCACACGACATTGAAACAAGCTAACAGGCTTGTCCTGGCAAGAAAGAGCAGCCAGTGTGGCCGCAAGCTGTTCTGGCTGACCGCCACGAGCTGCAGCCAGCACAGGCAAGAAGTCTTCACGCTGGAGTTCACTGAACTCTCCGAACCATTGCAGTAAGTACCGCAACTGAGCTTCTGAAGTTAGGCCTGTTGCCGACATTCTGTTCACAATTCTGGTACTGACCTGCTCACCTGTAAATAAGAAAGTTTTCTTAGAAATTTAAAGCTTATATTATTAGAAAGCAATCTATGAAGTTCTTTTTTATAAAATCTATAAAAAGCATACCCATTGTAATCACTTTATAAAATGTGTTTGGAATAACAATCGCAAAAGGTTTTGTAGTAACAGAAGATCAGCTCAAACACATTCAATTCCTAAATTTAAAATACACATGCATGGAGAATGTCGTCAAAATCAGAATTCTACTTAAACATTAAAGGTAAAACAAAGCATTCCATGATAATTATGGTTTATTATGATTAGTCATCCAACTCATTTGATTGCTGCAATAATTGTGCACTAATGACTTTTAATTAGACATTATTACAAAAGAAATAAACATTCATGTTAAACCTGCTGCCCACTGAATGTATTACAAACTGGATTATATTTAGGTACACAATTTATAAAAAAAAGTTTTCATTGGAAACATTGAGGACTCACTTTCAGGGGCCACTGATAGGCAAACAGCGGTTTCAATCAGTAAAGTCATGATGGAATTGTAACACAGCGTATAATCTCCGCGAAGGCTACAGAGAAACTGTTTAGTAATGCAGTGGGTGCACTGTGCAGCTGAACTTTCTATCGGCGGTGGCGCCTACTCGAACGGAACCACTCGAGGTTAACTGCCTCATAATTTCACCTCTCAACTCGATTATGTCACATACAACATTTCACTTTTTATGCGTGGATTATAAACATTTCCATATTACCCAATAAAATAATGAATGGGCAATGTTATTCTATACAGAAAGCTCCAATCTACCGAGTGCCAAAATACGTGCTATTTCACGTATAGCTCCTAATCTTTTACGTAATAAACATATTAAATTTGAATTAAGGTGTTATCATAAAAAATATCTTACCTGGCTGTTACTTATTAGCGTTGTATGGTTGGTCAGGACTAATTTCTTGTTATTTTATTTTCACAATCAGACACAACAAACATACAATCAGACACAAAAACGTCACTGACATGTCTTTCACTATTTTTTTAAATTATTCTGGCTGTGGATGCTTAGTCCTTTAGCCTAACTTGTCTGTCACTCACTATTGTCACTACTCGGGGTAGGCAATAGGTATGTCGATCAGATATCGATTACTTGAAGAATTGATTTATAGAGAAAAAATTATTAATTATAATTGATAAAAAAGATTTATAGAGGGATTTATCAATGCACAATCTATTCAGTTAATCGATATGTCACTAGAACCTCGACATTATATTTTTTTGGTTTGGTTAAAAACCATTAAATTATTTACAATTACATATTATTAGTTAATGTAGTAATCAACAAGAAGAATATGTACAGTAGAGGAGCCGGAGCTCAAATAAGAGCTAGCGTTACATGCCTCTATTGAACTCTTCACAACAAGTTAAAACCAAGTACCCCGTTGGTATCGTTAGTAAAGTTGTTATACAGCAGCTATTCTATTCTGATCTTTATATTAAAGTTAGGAAGTGAGAGTAATATTAAATAGCAGGGTGCATACCACATTTAACACAAAACTACTAAAGATAGAACGTAATAAGAAATAGTTATTTATGATATTAGTGCGGTAAGTTGGTTATTACACACTAGTAGACGTATTTATGCCCGAGATGAAGTCGAGGGCTTACCATAGTTACGAGTTTGAAAATACCAATTCCGTACCAATTTGCGAGAAAACAGTACTTAAGCCTAATTTCAGAAGAAAACTCTTTCTAATAAAAAAATGGCGCGCGTTTCTCAATTTCACCACGTGCGGATGGTGATAATATGAACTACACAATATTCCATCTCTTGAATTAAAAGCATTCCCAAGGAGGTTCGAGTGAATTTTAACAAAAAACAGTAAAGGATACGCACAGTGCCATTTATTTAAGCGTGTGGTAAAACGTTTGACCACACGCTTCGTTGTATGGCCTGTAATTTTGAACCTTTGAACATTAAACAAAAAACAGCTAAAGATAAAACGTAACAGGAAAAATATATAATTCACTTGATATTATTTTCTAAGTTTTGACGTGACAACGTCTTATAATTCTATGGAGCCGGCTGCACTAACGAAAAAATATGAATCATGCGGCGTACCTCGCTCTGAGGCGTTCCATTTAAGACTTGAAGTGTTTGGCACGATTATTCGACCATATATTCAGAGATATATTGTCGAATAAGCGTGCTTTCATCATTAAAATAAATAAATAGACAAAACATTTCTCAAATTCATGAAAGACATGTTCAATCTCGATTGTGCATCAGACGTTAATAAGTCAACAACACTAAACGGCACCACCATCGATTTGACTTTTTCAAGACACATTTCACTCGAAATACTCCCTTTCATTTCCTACTTTTGCTATCATCGTCCTATTCTCAACAGAATAATACAAATTGTAAGAAGTTAAATATCACACATGTTTAACAGTTGTAAAACAATAAAAGATTATTCGGACAGATGATGCCGTTGCAAACACTTTTGAAAATTTCTTTTCTAGTGCACCATTTGAAACAACTAGAAATCTTAATTCTTGTTCTAGGTTAGCAATGACCCTCCTTGAGTCAAGTGTTGATAAGTGCAGTAATGATTATGATTTTAGACATATCAGTAGTGATTGTATAATAAAAACTTTTGATTCCATTAAAATTAAAAAGACAGAGGATTATTGGGGAATATCAACATATATAATAAAACCGATTATCACTGTCATTGCGCCACAACTGGCCATTATATTTAACAAATGTATTGATGAGGGAGTGTTTCCAGATCTAATGAAATGTGCTAAAGTTATCCCTCTCTTTAAGGCTGGTGACAAATCAGATCCCAGCAATTTTAGGCCAATATCTATATTACCAGCGCTAAGTAAAGTATTTGAGAAAATAATTTATAACCAATTACTAGTACACTTTTCTATAAATAAGCTATTTCATTTAAAACAGTTTAGTTTCACTAGAGGCAAAAGTACTACTGCTGCTGGAACTGCACTTCTCAAACACATTTTTGATATATGGGAGAGTAAGCACGATGCAATTGTCATTTTTTGCGACTTATCAACGGCGTTTGACTGCGTTAGCCATGAAACATTGTTAAACAAAATGATTCATTATGGTGTATCTAATATTTCACTAAGTCAGATACAGTCTTATCTTTCTGCTAGGATTCAGAAAGTAGTTATAAATGAAGCTGAGTCTACAGGAGCACCCATTTCTATGGGCGTGCCCCAGGGTTCAATTTTGGGCCCATTGCTTTTCCTTATTTATATCAATGACCTTCCTCACTTTACAAGAGATTTGTGTGAGACAGTACTATTTGCTATTGACACCTCTTTATTGTTTAAAGCTAGAAGAAGAAATGATTGTTATGACGAAGTAAATTGTGCTCTCTCTGAAGTCCTTCACTGGTTTACGGTAAATAATTTAAAACTTAACTCCAGTAAAACAAAATGCGTTAAGTTTACTCTACCTAATGTGAGGCAGGTTAATACTAGTATAAAAATAAATGACCAGCCTGTAGAGTTAGTGGATTCTACAAAGTTTCTGGGTATTATTTTAGACTCTCGTCTGCAATGGGATCCTCATATTGATGCCTTGTCAAGTAGATTGAGCTCTGCAGCTTTCTCTGTTAAAAAAATAAGACTTTTAACTGATGTGGAAACGGCAAGATTAGTTTACTTTGGTTACTTTCATAGTGTTATGTCATATGGCCTTTTGTTGTGGGGCTCAGCCACTAATAACGAAAGTATTTTCATACTGCAAAAGAGAGCTGTTCGCGCCATATACAATTTAAAGGCAAGGGATTCTCTTGAAAAATAGAGAAAAAATTAAAGAAATTAATATTTTAACACTGGCGTCGCAATACATTTATAAAATTTTGATACCTATATGTAAGAAAAAAGTATGATGTATTTCCAAAAAAAAGTCAAACCCATAACTTTAACACGAGATTTAAGAACAAGCTTGCCGTTCCATCTTTCAGACTCCAACAATCAAGAGGTTCATTTCTGGGTTGTAGTATTGCATTGTTTAATAAAGTTCCCCTAGATCTGATTGAGCTTCCACTGACTAAATTTAAATCTCAGATCAAAAATACTCTTATCAATAAGGGCTATTATAAAGTTGATGATTATCTGAATGATCGTAATGCATGGACATAGTGTTTCTTATAATTTGTTATTTAATGGGTATTAGTCATTTTTCATAACAGTATTACTGTACCTATCTAATGCCGCTTCCTCTATACTAAATATAATATTAACTATAAAATATATTGTAACTATATATTTATATTCTAAATGATGTAATGGAAGGTGACTTCAGACGTATCTTTGAAGTTATTTTTCAACTTGACGACTCTGTATATAACAATACAGGGAAAAAAACAGCCCTTGCTGAGTTTCTTGCCGGTTCTTCTCAGTACAAGGTCTCCCGCCGTAGTTTTGCGAACCGATGGCGTAGCTTCTTGACCTTTACAAGTGCTTGTAACAGCCTAGACTGAATAAATGACTTTTCATTTCATTTTATTTCAACATATTATCTAGGGTCCTCCATGCTTCAGAAGGCACGTTACGCCGTTTGGTCCCGACTGCGTCTGTAGTCATTAGCACCCACCAATCTGCATTGGGCCCACGTGGTGGGTCATGATTGGCCTAATCTCTCTATTCGAACCATAAGAAAGGCCTCTGCCCCAGCATTTGGGACATTCATAACAACTCGGAAAGGAATTACTACCGACTAGCCTTGCAATATACCGTCAAACAGGGGTCCACCTATCGTAAGCGGATAAGCAATTCCAGTACGTTGGAATTGGCTGCGGCTAGGTGACACCACGCTTACGGCTCACCGGCCACTCACTGGTTGAAGGCTAGGCGGCAGTTCGATCAGTCATAGAGAGACTAACCACTCCATTTTAGGAGTTGGCACTTCCTAAACCACTTAAAACGGAGTGGTTGCTTTCATTATTGACGGCACGTTCGGAAACGCAGGCCGCGGGAGGAGCGTGAACGGAGAGGCGTAAGCTAGGCTGAATGACTGACTGATTTCTCATTCACCATGACCAAAGTAAGAACTGACTTTGATGATATTGATTAATACGTTTCAGTGTCTTCTTTTCAACACCTATAATACCTTACTAAATAAGGTTTTTCGTTGATCTGATTGATTACTTAAGCATCTGTACTTTTTCCTTCATAAATATGAAGATTACTAAAATACATTTATATAATACTAGCTGACCTAGCGAACTTCGTACCGCCATAAAAAAATTTAATTAAAAAAACATTGTCCAGCGGACAAAATTGTGAATCTAAACCATTCTCAGATCCCCTTGAACACACACAAAAAATTTCATCAAAATCGGTCCAGTCGTTTAAGAGAAGTTCAGTGACATACACACTCACAGAAGAATTATATATATAAAGATAAAAAACAAGATATATATATGTACCTAGTTCTCATAAAAGCCTGCGCAGACACGGGACTTTTCTCCGCTGACTTTTTGTCCGTCAAAATGGATCGTTTACAACTGCATCGAGTAAATTGGATTAAAAGTACCCTATACTAAAAGTCCCCCGAACAACCTCGGACACCAAGATAACGGAAAGGACAAAAGTACAGGTGTCACCAAAAAATAGATCTCATGTGACTAGGCGCAGTAACGCACACAGCGAGCTTTAGTCCGCGTTGCGCACTCGATCCGATTTGAAGAGATGGATCCAGTATTCTCTTTTAAACTTCTTATCTTTTTCTTTAACTTTCAAAAATATATATTTAAACTAGCTGACCCAGCGAACTTCTTACCGCCATAAAAAAATAGGGGTTGATGGTAGAAAGTTGAAAATTTAGAGATGTACGTATTTTCATGTTAATTATAACACAACGTAATCTGAGAATATTTAATTCCATAGTGCGCGCTTTTCTAAATTTTTGGGCAACAAAATGTCTATCAGCACACCGTGTGCGTTGAGTCTGTGACAAGTCCTTGGCGGATATTTTTTTCTTCGCTGCGCAAGCCATTATACATACCTATCTCCTATTTAGGTAAATATTATAGAATAAAAAAATATCCAGACTGCCAATGACTGATATACGTGGGTGCCAATTATTGTTCCCCGAGGCCAAATGACTTCACATTTGAAACTTTTTCAGTTGATTTTTTAATATTTTAATGCATAATAATATTAACACCTTTCAAGTCTGCGTATTTTGACACTGAAACCCTATTTAACAGCTTTGTAGAAGTACTTTCAATCGAAAACTAATAATTAATTTACTACAGCCAATCATTATAAAGTCTACCCATAAGTATTATTTATTTTAATCACGAATCTGCTCTATTATAAATCTAAAGAAAGTGTTTAATAGAAAAAAGAACTCGGTCTAGGTCCTGAGACCCAAGCTCTAACTTTGACAGCTTCGTAATCGTATCGCATCGCCAAAGTTTCTATAAAAACTAAGCAGCGCCCCTACCGGACTTAAGTACAAACCTACTCTTATTTGACGGATGGCGATAAGTTTACGGATTTGTCAAAGTTCGTGCTTGGACCTCTGCTGTCCGCATCCACTCGGACAGAGGAAGACGCAGGTTCAAGTCCTGCTTGGTATTTAATATCGTTGCCTGCCTGACACCATGAGCAAGTTTTTCTAGTAAAAAAATCACAAAATGTTTCTTTTCAAAAAAACAGTAGCTAGTGTGCTATGTTTGTTCCTTAATCACGCAAAAAGTACTGAACGACTTTGCATGAATTTTGACCTGGATTGAGACATAGAACACTTTTATCCCGTAATAATGTTAAGTACCTACCTGTGGGATCTTTTAAAAACGTTAACGCGGACAAAGTCGCGGGCGGCTGCTAGTTTCTATAATAAATTGGTGTTGTTCCCAGCTGGCACCCGCTTATTTTCCTGTGTAGCCTCGGTTGTTCCCTTGAGGGTTTATGTGCACCCACAAACTTCTCACACATCTCATGATTTTAATAAAACAAAAATGTAGTTTTCGTCTTTTATTCTTTTTTTATTAAAAAAACGATGATTTTTAAATGTATCTAATCGTTAGTTATGTAACTACTGACACAATAAACATAAAAGTTATCAATACAAAATCTACATCCTACCTACCTGCGCACAAATTGTAAGTAGTTTATCTATAAATTTGTACTGAAAAGTTGTATAAAATGGCATTTCTAGTCCAAAGATTTAATCGTTAGATATTGCCCAACTCTGTTGTATTTGCTCGATAACTTTATTTACACAGTTCTAAGTATTTTATCAATATATCAATAAATAATTTAAAAAAATATTTTTATCACAGCACTCCTGTCTGACCGTCTCAGTCTCCTGTCTGAGCAAAAACGAGCAAGGAAAACTAATTCCTTTCTCGATACCAATACAAAACAACGTTTCCAGAGACGGATGAAGGATGTTTCCAATGTAAAATATAAAGGTTGTATTGGTGTAAGGACATATAGAGGCATGTTAATTACCGACTTAGATTTTCATATCAACGCGTTTTGCAGCTTTACTAGGTATTGAAAAAAGTATCTCTAATCATACAGCTAAACGGACGCCAAGTAACAAGATAAGACAAATGTGGTGCGAGACAGCATTGTATCTAACGATTAAGTCAGATTTACATGGGGTCAGATAATGACTAGAAATTTGAGTGCTGACCCGATACTGGCATTGTGAAAATTTATTTGAAAAGAAGATACAGCGCCGACGTCACGACTACTATCTCCGTGTTATGAGTACCCCAAGCACAGAACACAAAGACGATGGCGATACTAATATTTTGTCGGTAGTCGTTCGTTCTTGCGAGTCTGTTCTCAAACGCCAGTACTGACCGATTTGGGAGTCGGTAACTGAACCTGTGTAAATCTGCCATAACTCTTTAATCTATTCCGCTTCTTTTCCATCACTATCACAGAAAGTTAACAGTCCCTTCAACATAGTATAAACAATAGATATAATAACAAATCCTTATTATTACTTGTTATTTCATACAAAATACCATATTATAATGAGGGCGAAACGGCTCTCTTTTCGTATTCATCATCAACATCCCATTTTAGTCATAGGCCTCTCCAAATACTTCTTCTCTTTTCGTATTACTCTTTTAAAATATACAACTACCTTTAATGGACAATAATTTATTAATTAAAAAATTTCATGAACCAGTTTCTTCATTTTTTCAGGGGCGTCTTACCCATAGGAGCGCTGGGTACGGCCGCACCCGGGCGCCGCGCGCCTGACCCTAGGAGGCGCCAGCCGGGCCAGGCTATCTACATCTAAATAAATCTGGTGGTAGAGAGTACTTACCTACCTACTTACCCTACCCAATTACAATTTTATAAATACTATTTTAAATAAATGTTTTAAAACAAAATTAAAACTTACGATTTAAGTACATACAGTCAGTTTTAATGATTGTTTACATTTTCCTAGTCAACTCGGTCAAACTATAATACATACACTTAAACATACATACGTATGCTTGCTTATTTATGTGATTTATTTCTTCTATATTTTTGTAGCATTCTATAAAATGAAAAAAATATTTGTCAATTTTTTTGTAAAAGGGGTCGCATTGTTGGCTTTCGCACCCGGGCGCCGCATATGGTTAAGACGCCCCTGCATTTTTTTAAAGATTTTGGTAAAGAACTTCATATTTAACTTCTATTGACCCCACTACTTGCATTTTTATTATCTAATTACAATGTAAGATAGCTATTTATATAAACTATACTACTTTTAAGTACGAGTAACTACCAGTATTGTTTTTGCATCGCTGCCATTATCCTTCTTTTTTCATCTAAAAGATAGTTAATAAAAAGACAATCATACTTATTTTCATTCCGATTTGTTAACTGCTGACTAGATTATGGATAAATATTATTAAGTAGGTACCTTTAACAAAACTTACAAAAAATATTGACATATTTTTGTACCTAATAGTAAACTATTTCACTAAAAGGTAAAATGCAAAGTAGGGATCTGTCAGTTGACACAATTTTAGTTGTATTATTTACAAATATCCCAATAACAAGCTTACTTAAATATCAGAGTCACTCCATTTAGGCATCTTTTAATGTTGTAATGCGAGAAAACATTTTTTATTATAATCTAATGAATTGCACCGTAAAATGACAATTAAATTGTAAAGATGCATAAATTGAAAGACTCCAATAATCTTAACTCCATTTCTAAAATACTTAAATATATCACAAATACTTTAGCACGAAAGCTTTAGTTTTTAGGAAGATTTTTGTTTGATACGAACGTATCGACTCATTATCGTATATATCGGCAATTAGATTTCTACTCCTTAGCGGGACATCAGTACCATTTTAATCCCACGGGGAAAGTAAACTCTGTGGTGAAATGCGTCAACATGCATCAAAATCTGCGTCATATTTGGTATTGATCAAGTCTGGTTGTCCATCCCTCTCTTAGAAGGTCCTTCCCAACAATACTCGAACGCTAATATGGTACCTACTATTTTGTTTGTCATTTATCCTAATAAATATTTTCCTTTATAAAATGGTAAAACTGTACTTTCTGGACCCAAGAGGATATACTTGACAATTTTTTTTTTATATATTATCAAAGTTTTCTCTGGCGCTTAGCCATGCGCTGCCGCAGCATGCTCGCCTTGCTCGCTCGGCTCGCACACATTTTATTTTTCTATCATACATTTAAACACATTTATACCTGTACACAATGGACATACTAAAATAAAACAAAAATCATTGATCAAGATAAAAATAAAATCAATAACTGAAATGAACGTAAAATAAATCCTGTCAATGAAATTTTTTTTAACAAAAAAACCTAACCTAGTGTAAAGTATCATCTTTTGGGTCCAGAGAGTACAGTTTAGCCTATAAAACTCTAATAATTGCGAGGAATAGTAGCAGGTTACTGGTTGGTACTGGACGTTTTTTTTAAACAGTACCTAGATATAGGTAATTATTGAAGTGAAATAGTTGGTATTTGGACACACAGACATGATCGATAAGAACTTGGTATGCCTCCCTCCGCAGCGAACAAAAATCTGTCACTAAACAATAAAATTCACTCATTTGCTCAGCGGTCGTGGCTGTGGCCGTCGTTATGACTATGCCCGTGGTCATCATCTCCGTGACTGTGCGAGTGGGTGTGAGGAGCTGAAACAAAATAAATAATACCATCAGTTAACCAAATGGTTCAAGAGCCGGAAGGATAGGTGAAGGCTAAACTGAAGCTTGTTGAAAACTGGTTTTAGGATAAAAGGTATTGAAAATTTTCGGTCCTAACTACTTTTCTTTTATAAAAGTAATTAAACGAGGAATGAGATAAAACCTGGAGGAGACTAAATAATAGAAATTACATCCAAAAAGGGGGAAAACATTAGATTTAGGATGCACGTAAAATAATTTTACCTAAGTGGGTACACGAATCTATGTCAGTCAATGGGTTTGTATTACTCGTAGATATGGAAGACTTAGGTACTTAGATATGAAATAAAAGTTTTAGAAAAGTACGCATTTTTAAAAATAAAATTACGCAAAATATGAAAAACTTTGAAACTTTTTGTTTGTCTTAAAGTGTAAGTAGATAATAATTGTTTTATTATATGTTTTTAATCTGCGTCCTCTATTAAGCGAAGGCCTGGCGCTCACTCGGGCGGGCCGTATCAGTAGGTACTTGGTAATACCGACCCTGACTTTAAATTTATGTACAGCAATGGCATTGGAGGTGCTATAAATAATCGTAAAGTTCATGTCACCATATCCCAGTCTGTTAAATATAGTTCAGCGATGTGATTCAAAATGATTTGTTAACTAAGAAAAACATAATAATTGGCACATTAACAATTACTTTACACGCACAACTGAGAGTTTTTTTTAGTCGGAATCCAACAATATTAAATAATATCGCTGTAGTAAACCAACGGCAACACTTCAAAAATTTTAAGTTATCATCAGCCGAATTATCACATTTTCTCTGAATAGCATAATTAGTAATAATTAGCTTTTTTAACTTAATATTTGTATTATCAGTCATCATATGACGTCTTATCCCATATCCTTACTCATAACAAACTAGTGCCTATTCCTAACTCAACCTATTTAGATTATATTAATATATTTTCTTAATTCAATCCAATTTCCGTTCCTTACTCACAAAGCAAATATTACCTTCTACAAATTATAAAAAAAATGATGAAATTAGTGATGTCGTTCTTAACAAGGAAATCGGGATAGAAATAGGTAAAGTGGAAAAATAAACTTTCAAAGTACTTACTCAACAACTGCAACCCGAACATGAAGAAGAATCCTATCATCGCGGCGCCGAACTGCAGGATGCCGGTCCTGTCGCCCTTCCATATCTCGAAGAAGATGACATAGAGCAGCGTTCCTGAAGCCAGGCCCTGGAGGACCACCGAGTAAACTCCGGCCGCTTGGGCACCTTCCCCGCCCACTAACAAAATGCCAATGCCAATGCCAATTGGCGATACGACGGCGAAGGTAGTGATGTACACTATGGCAAGCCAAGTCTTAGTCTTGGTGGCGATGAGTTCGACGCCTATGCAGAATGCGATGACCAGTTTGTGTGCTGATACAGCGCCCAACATGTACCTGGAGAACGATAAAGAGATTTAAGTATGTTAAGTATGTTTTAGTTAGAGGGCGTCCATAAATTACGTGAGGTGTTTTTTTGAATTTTCTGTCCCTCCCTCCCCCCCTGGTGAGATGTCGTGAGTTTTTATTCAACCCCCTCCCCCATCCCCCAATCTCACTTGAGATTTTTCAAAATGTGGGTTTCTTACGTAATTGGATTGTTATTGTAAAAAGAAAGAAAAAAATTGCTTATTGCTTTTATTCACGACTAGTGAAGACTAGTAATCAATATTGCTGAGAATTATTTCTTACGAACGAATTAGTGAATGATCTTAATCGTATTACGATTACGCTAAAGATTAAATCTTAAGCATGTACAATCTGGAGTAAATGGACCAAAATAGTATTTTTTTTATGTTTCAATCAGAAAAAAATGCGTGATATTTGCCGAGACCCCCCTTCTCTCCAACGTAAGATTAGATTAGATTTGACTCGACCGCCTCCCCTTAAACATCTCACGTAATTTAAGGACGCCCCCTTAGTTGTAATCCTTAAAAAGAGCTGCTTTAGTTTGAAATTAAAGTAGTAATACCTAGGTACTTATAAAATAATAATAATCTTTATTTCTGAACCATGACGTATACAATATAACAATTTAGTGTTAACAACCTTAGTAGTTTTAAAACTGTGTTACAGTTATTAGCGCCCACCTCAAAAGACAGGCACATTACAGACATGATTAGAAACAAACAAAGTATTTATAATACATTACACTGTGTGTGTGTGTGTATGTGTTGGTATGTGTGAATGTGTATATGTGGTGTGTGTGTGATAGAGAGATGTGTGTGCATGTGCATGTTTTACTTGATCAATAACTCCACAGTGTCATATTCCAAGTCAAGTAACCACCCGCTCAATTTGATTTTACATTCATGCTTTGAAAGAGGGTAAATGTAAAAGCCTTTTATTTACTTTGTTATAGAGAAGGGGAGAAATGAAATCATAATGATGTTTCAATAGAGCTATTCGAGAATTTGGAATTTTACACACATTGTCTTTCCTTCTTTTATTTAGTAGGGTGTAAGGGTCATATGGGAGTAGCATATGCTTGCGTAACACAACTTGTTGGACGAATAGTTTGCGGACAGAAAGTACCTGCCAGAAAGCATACACTAACTGGGTGCTGTACCTAATAGGTTTAAATGCCATAACTTTCAAGATGGCTCTTTGTGCTCTTTCAAGTTCTAACATCTTTGACTTTCCAGAGCCCCCCCAAACCGTTACAGTACGATATTATTGACTGTGCCAGAGAAAAGTATGCAGTTCTGAGGATATGAGAGTCAACGAGACGTCTCAGTCTGCTGAAAACAAAAATTAACTTTCTGGTTCGTGAAGTGATAGATCGGTCCACGACAACAGCTGATTAAAAAATAGGCACGCCGTAGGCTAAAGAATTTAGTGTTCCGCTAAATAAAAACATTTGGTGTCGGTGACGGGTCATTTACAGTGAAAATTTTGTTATTCCTCTACGCCTCCGGCCGGAACATACCCGTTTTAAAACCTTAGAACACCCGTTTTTGACAGGAAACATAAGCCAATACAGTTGAAAACATAATAGTTTTTGATTTGAAGCTCAGATTTGAAGAGAATGAGTAGGAGTCGTGAGGAAATTAATTATTTAATTTAAATATTTAATTTCTTTTCACAATTAGTTTAGTTTTTATGTAGGTACTACCTTTAAACAATGTTATTAAAAATAATAGATAAATTGTCAGTACATCACACTAATATTATAAAGGCGAAAGTTTGTGAGTGTGTATGTTTGTTACTTCTTCATGTCTAAACGGCTGGAGCGATTTTAATAAAATTTGGTATGGAGTTAGCTGACACTCTGGATTAACACATAGGCTAGGTTTGACTGCGGGAAAAATCCCTAATAAACCACGGGTAACACCGCGGGACACTGCTAGTATTATATAAATACTAGCTGAGCCAGCTAATTTATCTAGCTAACAAAAACACCGTTTTATGCAAAACAGTTTGTGTAACGCCATCTGTCGGGGCGTAGGTGAGTAACACTCGTATTTTACGTAAAAGCATGCTTGTTAATGTGATTGTTCTATCCGCCGCTAGATGAAAGTAGTAATCATTACGTACCAAACGTTGGCGGTGGTGGCCTCCAAGCCAACTGCGAGGCCTTCAAACAGTTCGTGGATAGAAAGGGCTAAGACGATGAGTAATCCGCGCAGAGCTGACGTAACGTCGTCACCAAGTTGTACCGGCATGTGGCTGTGGTGATGGCTATGAGAGTGGCCGTGTTGATCTATTTCCGGGTCCTTAGAAACAAGTAAAAAAATATTATTGAAGTGAAACCTCTTTACGCACGCTTGACGTGGGGGGTAAGCTGGCGAATGCGTTACGCGTTACGAAAAGTGTGTTTGGCCGCGGCGACCGGGAGTTGAGTGGGGGATATAACCAAGAGGAAGCAGTTCGCATGCACATTTCTCTTATAGCTAGTAAATGAAATATGTATTTGTACATACATTTATATATTATATACACATATATATACATACAGATGGAGCTAAAGAAGTTTCACTTCAGTCGTGTGGTCATAAGCACACTCGGTTTTGTTTTTTCAACGAACGAGATTTTTTAACGGGATATTACTATGACTTTTCTAGCCAGTTCTGTTAATAGTGTGTACTTTTTCAGCGGTAAGCAGGATTTCCTAATTCAACTGGTATTGTATAAGTCGAAACTCCTGTTGACGCTACATTCAACTTGTTATGGTAAACTTCTTTGCATCAATGCCAGGAACATCGGAAATACTGCTGGTGTACAAAGAATGTTTGTTCTATATTAATACGGAAGTCAAATCCAGTGGAAGTCAAAACCAACCAAATGATATATTAACTTACTTTTACGTGATTATAACAATGTTATAATAATAAGAAAAACTATGATATAAGGCGATAAGGTAAAACCAGTCAGTTACATAGAATGCGTTGGCTATTACCTTTTCTTGTGCAGAGTGTGTTTTACTTACTAAAACCACTTTCTTGGCGTCCAGTACTGTAATTTACTAGTATAAATATATATAGGAGGTCAACCGAAACGGTCCCTAATTAGCACATGCTGCAATCAATAAATTTGTCACCACCCCTATCGCCCCTATCGTCACCCCTATCGCCACCCTATCGAGGATTGGCCTACGAGAAAGTGGTTTTACTTATTTAATATAAGTAAGTCTATGTTTAAGTGTGGAATGCTGAATAAACAATATTTTATTTAATATTCTAGGGCTAAACCACTGCTCGATGGCGCAGGAGCACGATGGCGCGGTTGGGTAGCGCGTTCGGCTGCGATCGTTGAACTTAAGCAACTTTCGCAGTGGTCGGTCATTGGATGGGTGACCAAAAAATCTTCTATCTAGAGTTCCTCCGTGCTTTGGAAGGCACGTTAAGCCGTTGGTTCCGGCTGCATCTGCAGTCGTTAGCACCCGCCAATGCGCACTGGGCCCGCGTGATGGGTCATGGCCCATTATCCCCATACCTGGGAAGGCCTGTGCCCCAGCAGTGGGGACATTAATAGGCAGACGATGATGATGAAGCCACTGCCTTGTCTCTATGTACATTTGTTAGCACCCCACAAATTGGTACCGCGTCGTCGTCGTTATGGCACAAAGAAAAATTTTATTCAACGGACCTGTTGATTCATCGTGTCTGGGTAGGTGAAGCTAAATAATAAGCTTAAACGAAATAGAAATATTAAACAAACCCTTTTTTTTATCGAGTCAGCATCGATGAGGTCCGCAGTTGAATTAGTGACACTCTTCTCGCCGTTGCTGTCATCATGTGCGGCGCGACTTCTCCGGACGCTGAGGTTCCGGACCAACGGCGCAGCTACCCCGTTTTTCTTCTCTCTGTAGTGGATGTACATGTGGACCAGCTCCTCAACCAGGTACATGATGAAGAAACCGCAGCATGTTAGCAGTGGTGTCAGGGAGAAGTCGAAGTCCCGCATGAGTTCGAAATCTGAAACAAAGAAAACGTGTTTTTTTTATTAAAGTCGTTAAAGTCCTACTAAAACGGGAGAGCAGTCGTTTTTGTATTTAATTAATTACAAAGTTTACAAGCATCATTATAAATTTCACTTCCATGTCTACATCACAACATGAATAAATTATTGAAAGCTGAGTCGTTTATTTCTAATAAAACATTGCATTCGACATTTTCTTTATTATTTGGGGACTTTAAAATTCAACAAATTCCTAACTTTAATGAGCATTAATATTAAATAACTGTAACTGGCCAATACATCCTACCCTGACTAGTCATCATTTTTAATTATTTATCGTTTATTATTAGTATTTTTAATTCACTGAAAACCTAAATTTTTTCAAGAGTAAATATATTTTCTGTTTCAATACCAATAAACAATCGGTGCGCAAAATTTCATTCGAATCCGCTGAGCCGTTTGTGCGTTATTGAATAATAAGTTTTGAAACTTTAACATTTTATAATAAATATTATTTTATTTTATTTGTATTAGTTAGTTTGACTGCAAAACAACAATATGTAAATCGATATACCATGAACCGGTAGCAAAACTATATTTTCTTCGATTATCTTTTTACTATTATCAGATTTATCTTTATCGCTGAATTAGTAACCCATATAAATAATAAGTAATTTTCCACGAAAGGCACCGGCATGGCTGTGTCACTTACAAAACGCAGAGAGAGGTTAGAAGGGCCTTCTGGGCGGGGCAGGCGCGCCACAGTTACGTGTGAGCAAATACTCATAACTTGACCAAAACTTTGTTCTGATTGCGTCGTTGGTCTCGGGTGTGAGCGCTGATTGGTTCGATTGTTTGATGTCGCGTCGTTTGATTCGCTATTATCTTTTAGTGTAGTGGGGTCGAGCCGGCGACATCGGTTCCCATACAAATTGTTTAACTATGATAACCCTTCTAACCTCTTTCTGTGTTCTGTACTGTCACTGGCATTGCTGACGTCCATAAGCGAAGGTTACCACTTAACATCGTGGCTGGTCCACTCGTCTGATTTCGAAGGCATTAAAATTTAATATTATTGTCCAAAATTTTACCTAACGAGATCAGAATACACGCATTTTTTTTCTTTAAATAATCTTTTTATTTTGAGCTTTGACTTTCAATACAATCTAACACACTGTCCCTTATTTATATAACGTTTTATTTTGATAAACTAAATGCATCGTGTAATAAGTGTACCCGGTGTTGTAATTAAAAAAAGACATCAAAGTCAGTACTAGTAAGCTATGCCGTGTTTAGACCTACAGCTAGTGATATCACTTTTACTGCTAAATATGAATGAAAACTAAGATGGATAAAAAGTTTTACGCCATACATAAAATTCATCCTCGCCTTGAGGGCGAAATATTTTTTATCCTCTTTTATATATAAACCCGGAACCGGAGCTGTTTTAACCTTCTTCACACAGTTAAAGAGGTCGTTAAATCATTACTAACAGCCGTAAGCGCAGAGACATCAAATAAATTTCATAATGTCATTTAAACTCACTTTTGCCCATTGCCATGTTCTAAAGTTTTCATTGCAAAGAACTATTTTTACTATTCACAGCACTATTTTTAATCATACTCAAAAGTAAATTAATGTCTCTTTCTTGTCCTTATTTTTACCCAAAAGGTAAACCAGGAGAAACCCTTTTACTAAAGCCCACCATTCACTACACGCACCGCGAGCCGAACCCCGAGCCGAACCCCGAGCCGTACCCATCCGTGGACAAATCCGTCATTGCTCACACACTACACGAGCGTCGAGTTGCAGTCCAGTCACTTGTGTACTTTGGTGAGCCTCGCGCGTATCGTTCTTCCCTACCCTACCATGCCACCGGTGCTTTCCAAACGCACAAAAGTCGCTGTAGTAGTCGGTGCAGTACTTTTAACGGAGAATAAAAAGAAAAAGCGCGTTTGAACAAAGGAATGGCTGAAACAACGAACAAAATATACTCATTTAAAATTGCTGCAATGCATTCAGACCTGTAAACCACCTGTTTCTCTTTAGTTTTCTCTTTAAACAGCAGGATAAATTCTTGCCAAAACTCTTTATGATCGCCGAACGATATGTTATTATACTCGTTTACTCGTTCGTGATACAAACAACACAACTGCAGGCCAATTATGCTCGCTAATTGTGATATTGTTTTAATGTCAATTTCACATTACGCATTAATTATGCTCTCCGAAAAATGCGATATCAAAATGACATCAACTCGACATCAACTTTAAAATGATATCAACTTAAATGCGTATTACGTTCAACTTTTTGACATAAAACAGTATCGCATAAACATCACAAAATGTGATACAGACTTAACAAGTGGTTTTTCGGTATCAAATTCCTTTATTTTTTAATAAAAAAGAGTAAAATGGCTCGTTTCGTGTTAGTAATGGACTATTTAGAACGTGCTCATGCATGCATTTTGATATCGCATGTTTCGGAGAGCATAATGCGTAATGTGAAATTGACATCAAAACAATATCACAATTAGCGAGCATAATTGGCCTGCAGTTGTGTTGTTTGTATCACGAACGAGTAAACGAGTATAATAACATGTCGTGCGGCGATCATAAAGAGTTTTGGCAAGAATTTATCCTGCTGTTTAAAGAGAAAACTAAAGAGAAACAGGTGGTTTACAGGACTGAATGCATTGCAGCAATTTTAAATGCGTATATATTGTTCGTTGTTTCAGCCATTCCTTTGTCCAGACGCGCTTTTTCTTTTTTTGCTCCGTTAAAAGTATTGCACCGTCTACTGAAGCGACTTTTGTGCGTTTGGAAAGCACCGGTGGCATGGTAGGGTAGGGAAGAACGATACGCGCGAGGCTCACCAAAGTACACAAGCGACTGGACTGCAACTCGGCGCTCGTGTAGTGTGTGGGCAATGACGGATTTGTCCACGGATGGGTAAGGCTCGGGGTCCGGCTCGCGGTGCGTGTAGTGAATGGTGGGCTTAAGACTACACTGTCTGCCTGTCACTAGGCTGTATCTCATGAACCGTAATAGCTAGACAATTGACGTACTTAATTCTGTAGTCGCTATAACATGAAAACCTAAAAACATAATAAAATTAATATTTAAGTATAGCAATCAAAAGCCAAATAGATCATGTATGCGAGCCATACATATATTATATATCTAATGTTGTATTTAGCTCTTCGTGCGCGAGTCCGAATCGCACTTTGGTCATTTTTTTAACGTCCTATCTTATCTTCCGTAGAAAATTAAATGTTTGGATAGGAACAAAAGATCTCGCGGCTTTCTCTTGCCTCGTTAGATTTCCCTTGGCTGTTAATCTGTGGCCTGCTCTTTTACTTGATCAAGACACGGAGATCTAAGTGAACTAACTTTGGCCACAAATTACCTACTTAAGCCCTAACAAATGAGAGTTGTTAATTCTTCAATCGAATTATGTGAGTATTTTCTATTTTATATTTTTTTATAATTTCCGAGTCATTACGTTAGGAAGAGAAGAGAACATAGGTACTACTACTTTTACTGTTACTATGCTTACGTAAATAAAAGCCATTATGTTTTATAGAGCATCAAAAGAACTGTTAATTTGATTATAACATAAAATATAGCATTGTAATGGTTTAAAACCAAAGCTGACCTGAGCATGGTTTTATAGTTTTATGTTTGTTTTTCCCTCAACTGCAAAAAATCCAAATTCTTATCTTAATTCGCCTACCAGTGTAAGAATCTAAAATAACACACGTTTCTTTAAATGTTAGTATTTTTTGCCGACTTTTATAGTTATATCAATTATACCTATAATTAAAATGATTTCTTAAAAGTTTTCCTTAAAACAAAAAAACTTTATTGGAATGCGGCTGTAACGCATTCCAGCATGAGTTTGCCGCCTACAATGCCGAGTCCGTCTACTTGATAAATTAAAATGTCTAGACATTGTTCAATTACGAAATACTAGCGGCCGACTGCGACTTCGCCCGCGTTAACTTTAGTTTTTTGAGAAACCCACAGGAACCTAACATTCGACGACGACCTCCGTGGCCGAGTGGTTTGTGGGCCGGGTTTCATGGCTTTCGCCGACTCGAGAGGTCCCGGGTTCGAATCCCGGTGGGGGCAGATGTTTGTGTGATGAATACGAGCATTTGTACTCCAGTCATGGATGTTTAATATGTATTTATATAAATATACTTATATATGTATTCTATCCGTTACCCTAGCATCCCATAACACAAGCCTTATAGTGCTTACTTTGGGGCTAGGCTAATTGGTGTGAGTGTGTTAAATATTTATTATTTATTATTCTTTTAAAGTATCCTATGTCTCAATCCAGGTCATAACTATATACTTACCAATTTTCTTCCAAATCCGTCCAGTTGTTTAAGCGTGATTGAGTATGAAAACATACAAACTTTTACATTCATAATATTAGTAGCATAAGGATTCCAAAATTCCAAAAACACTATATTTATTAAATAAAGAAAGAGAAATTTTAACTTTATAGACCGCACTAGGGTCTTTATCATTTGTCGTCAATTACGGCAAGTCAATGACAGCGAGTTTTAAAATAAATATAAAAAACAATCAGAGTAGAAACCTCGGCTAGAATCGTTTTCATACCTTTAAAGTTCAAGAAGTTACGCATTCAGTGTAACGAAATTCGATATTTGCGGCCTTGTGGCTATACATATACTCGTAGGTGCATAAGTAATGCAAACCCAAGTAACACACTTGGTGACAAAAAGCTTGCATAAAGTATTTTATTGGATACTTTAGTAATAAAATTCACCGTGAATAAGTTCTGTAAAGGTGGTTGGAACCTATATGCAAGCTGTATATTACCCAAGGGAGAAAAATTGCAACCTATTTAAAAATACAAAAGCGATGCATAAGCGTTCGAATTGTTACCCTGAGTGGTAATTGGAGCTAACGGTAAAAATTGCGCGTAGTGAATGAATGCTTGAATGATGAAAGCGATACGTTCATTCGTTGAGCGACAAATGAGATCTAAACAAGTGTCATTTTTGTTGGAGATCTCTTAAACAAAAGGACGCGTGCTAACTAGCATTTGGAATATTACATTTATTTGGTAAGCATATATTTTTTATTGTTATAACGTAGGCTAACATCATGAAGACTTTGCAAATGGTTTTTTATTGTGAAACCATGGTATATTTACTTAGAAAATTTTAATGCGCCTTCGATTTAATCAAATATTATCACAAAATATGCGGTGATCAAATAAATACTATAATGATATAAAACAAAATAGTTGATAGAAACCTAACATTATGGTTTCACAAAGAGTATAATGTGAAACTGTATCAGAAACAGTTATCAAAAGTCATTTTATTTCACGTTATTGTAATAAAATACCATTCAACAAGATGCTTTTCAAGGACTCCATTTTTAAACATGGCGATTCAAAATAGACTCTGCAGTTCTTATTTTCACTCATTTGTTGCCTTATTGGAGCTCTTAAGGCCAAAAATAACTCATTAGTACCTAGTAGTGATTATTTACACTTTACAGGCCCTTGCTGTTTAAGCGGTGAATCGGGGATCCTCAATACGGATACAAAACCCATTTATGCAGGTAAATAAAGTAAAATCTGCATAACTTGTAAATGTCGTCTGGAGTATACTAAGGCTCGTATTTATAAAGCGATCTCAAGATTGAGAGCAATATTAAGTATGGATTTGACAGGTCGTTTTGTACTGAAAAAGACATTTCTGATACGAACTCAAACTCGCTGTCACTCTTGAGAGCTGATTATAAATACGGGCCTTAATAGTCAGGTTGCAGTGCACTTAGAAGGGCTGGCCATAGCATTAAATGACAATTTTTTATGGGTGGGTTGATATAATGACCCCTATTTTTTCATCGGGAATGGAAAGTATTGCTCATCACCAGGCCTCGGATATTCAGGTGCAAAAAAAAAGCCGTGGCATGGGTGTCGTAATGGGGTTATTTAATTTAATTTTAATATTTTATAATGAAATTTATTTTATTCTACATATAATATATAAATATCTAAAGTGACAATAATAAACTTTTTTTTTCAGAATGCCGTTTTTGATAGTCGAAACGATTGAAAATGGTTCCAAAAAACTATCAGTTTGTCCGGAAATATGGGTAAATAACGGAATTTTAAGTTGGCCTACTAAGAAAAATTCCAAAAAATGTAAAATGGAACAAAAGATTCCCAAAGATAGTTGGCTGAAAATACCTTGTATAATTAAAAGAAGATTTGATAGTTATGAGGCTGCTGATGCTGAGTTAGATGTCATGGTTGAGTTGCCTGAAACTGAAAATGAAGGAAACAATACTGTAAGACTGCCAGGCAATGAAGATTTTAATAACATTGCCATACAACTGGTAGGTATAGATACGCTATAAACCTTTAAATACATATATTTATTCACTAGTATACTTCATTTTCCTCAAATCGTGATACTTTGTTCAGTTCAAATAATGACTTTGCTTGTGTAGTGCGGCATGACATCTATAGGTTAATATTAAACAATACTATACATTTAATAAAAATAAAATATATATTTTTTTTTTTTGCTTTCAATGGAAAACTTAAAAGTATAATAACTATTTATTTTTTCAGTCATCTACTGGATCTGCAAACGACAACAATGCATCGACTACAGCTGCGCAGAAAATGCAAGAAACAAATAATAATATTTCACCTGATAACTATGTAGTGGTAGTATCTGATGATGTTCCTAACGGCAATAATATTACGGTCCAGAATAATATAGAAAATGAAGTACTCCAAGTACTGGATTGTGACGATCTCCTACAAAATCAAAAAAAAATGGCTGAATATCAAGTTGCAATACTAGATAACCAAAAAAAAATCATAAAAGCGCTAGCAACGATATCTGTTAAAATTGATACTTTGGCATCGAAATTCCAAAATCAGCCACAAATGACACCACCAATGACAGTGACACCATTAAATAACGAAATAAAAAAGAGCCCTTACAATGCTAGAGTTGCACCTGTTCAAACTATGGATGATCTTCAAAATATGGAAAATCAGCTGCATGACGCCGAAAGAAGAAAATGTCTTAAGGATTTGTATTCCGTTTTCTGTACTCCTGGGAAGAAAGGGGAGGTTTGTGCTTTTCAACTTATTGACGTTTTTTTTAGTCGTGAATTTTTGGTCCAGTGTTCTTGGTCGGGTTCTGCTAGAGGGGCAGGTTCAAAAATATGCATTAAAATATTTCAAGAAGTGCTTGGATTTTTTTTCGAACTTGTTCACGACTGTGACCCTACATACACTGTCGACAAAAACAATGATTTCTTTAAATCCATCGTCAAAAATGCTAAAAAGAGAACACATTCTAAATTAGGAAGAGCTTCCGCGCCAAGAAATGTCCCCAAAAGAAAACTTGCTACAAAAGAACAAAGTTGCACTACAAAAAAAAGGAGGCCATCTGGAGGTTCAAGTGCAGCACTGCAACATATTGAAGAAGAAGTCGTCGATATTGAAGTCGTAATTGATAAAGAGGCTTCAATCGATAATGCTGTACATGCAGATGAAAGCACTCATAAAAATGAGAATGATAAAAATTGAAATAGCGATAACCACAATACAACTCAAGAAATAAGGCATTTCTAGTTATAAGTTCTTTTTGACAGTTTTTTACTTGTTTTTGACTTTTACATACATGGTGTGCGGGACAGTGTATCAAAAAATTTGCAGGCGTGATCACTCTTTTAACCTAAACAGGTTTCAACAAGAAACATTCAGTCAAACATTACTTATACATTTCAAGCAAAATGTTTCGTACACCTATTTTTACACCCCGTATGAATATAACGTATCTTTGGAGTTTCCTTTTTTTTAGAAGTTAAGTTTATTATGTTGATTTTTTGATGTTGATTAAGTAATTTGTTATGTTACCGACTTTGATTTTTTAATCATAATAGTTGTCAAAGACAATAATTTTAAAGTGTTAACGGAAATCATGAGACTGCTAGATAAGCGACTTACTCATCGTACCTACATAGTTTTTCGCAGATTAGGATTTAAGTGTTAAGAGTAATACAATATGTATCTGAAAAGGTGCGGATTCTTTCAGGGAGGTATTCAGTTAATGAAACTATAGAAATTTACACAAGGATTATTGTTTCCTAAATTTTAAAAATAATCGTCGTCCCATACTATGTCGTCAGTCGTCAGCCAACTGTCCACTTTGTATAGGAGGTCGATTTTTTTTTAATTTTCGGCCTTGTATACCTTTCGAGTTACTTACTTGTTGTTGTTTACTTACGGGAAGACACCTTAAAACCTTTGTAGATACATCCTATATTAAACCCTTATATTATAAATTATGAGACTGCAAGTTGTGCGACTTAAATATTTAAGTAAATCGACCTACTCATGTAAGTATTTAATTAATAAGGATTAAAGATAGAACGTAAAAGAGATAATGAGACTGTAAGTTGTGCGACTAATTATTATTCATGAAACCATTTTATTGATTATGATTTAAGTGTAAGACAATTACATAACTCAAACTGTTGTGCTGCAGTTATCCTCATGTAAGTTTATAATAATGAGACCTTCACAAGATTTGTAGTTGGATGATTGAAAATAAAATCAGAGTATGACATCAATTTTAATGTGTTTTATTTTAAATCTTAAAGTAGGTACAGGTCAAATAATCAATATTTTGAAAAAGTATGAAGCAAAGGTAACAGACAGATTTCTTCTTTGTATTTAATCGCTACTAGTTTATATTTTATATCTTCAGGAAAACGTATACAATCGGAAACATTAGTCGACGTTAATTTGTATTTGAAAATCTTAAGATAGGAAGACGAAATAGGAAGCTCAAAAACATTTTCTGTATTAGTTATCAACTTACATTTTACAATTATTTTGCTGTCTTGAACTTTGATTGATCTTGTTTCCATTATCTCATGATTTGATGTTACAAAAAATCTGTCTTTATATTTTTCCGATATGATGAAATCTTTAAAATGTAAAACTAAATCACCACTTCTACAATTCTTTTTCACATATGGATAGTTTGTTACAATCTCATCAGTACTATTCACGTCCAAGCTATCGCATTCACCAATTCTTTTCGCTATTTGGGATAATGGTTTGTTGCCAGTACGAAGCATATTTTTAATCAAATAAAGTTTGTTTTCGAACGAATAGGCATTAAAACTTTGTAGAATTCCAAAATTGAGCACTTCATCAACAACATGTAATAAATTATGGACATTACTCGTCATGTAGTCTATACCATAGAAGTATTTAAAATTTTTTACAAAATGATTTAATAGCTCTTTAGCCAACGGCAAAAAATTAAAGTATTCTTCACTTGAACATATTGTTATTGCACAAAAAAATGACAGAAAATGTTTCATTGCATCAGTGTTTAATACCGTTGGTAATATAACTACGCTAAGGTACAACAAGAATGTCCTAAATTCAGAAGCCTTCCAGTGAGCTAGACTGCTGAGATTTCTTACAGATCTGTGGATTTCTGAAGGTAGTTGGCAATCATCCAGAAAATCATTTACCGTCGATATATCACTTGCTCGGCATTTTGTGTCTTTCTTACCAAAATTTCCGTCTCGCCAGCCAATTAGAAGGCGTTTCGTAATCCCCAAGTCGATCAAATGCATAGAATCAGCAACAGGAAATGCTTTTATCATATCAATCGGAAGACTAAGCAAAGGGGAATCAACTTTATGATGTTTACCGTAAAGTTTTTTACGAAAATCTTCATCATTCCGGGCAGGACAATCTAATTCAGGAAATATAACCGTATGAGATATATGAGAGTATTCACCGATAATGGTACATTTATTACACCCATGTTTGCCATTAAAGTTGCAAATTCCTTTTATCATTGCCCTTGCAGGAGAATCGCATACAAAACATCTAATTGTAGCATTTACCTTATTATTTTTTACAAGCAGACCATTTTGAAGTAATGTACGCATTTCAAGGACAAAAGGTTGTAAATAAGCATTTCAATCGTTAGGTTTTCCATTGCCTGCATAAATACCAACGATAAATGGTATCATACTTGGCAATTCAAAAATCTTGCAAAGTATTGGCCAAAACTGCTGTTTTGAACTGTTACATACTGGGAGACCATCTATGTTGAAGTAAAGTGAAATATTAGCAAGTAATTCTCTGTCATTTTTATTCAAAATAGTTTCAAGCGGTATTATAAGTCCATTATGCCAATATTGACCAGGATCGACAGATATTGTATCAATTTGTCTCGGAGTGTTCATGAGCGTTCTAGGGTCTACAGGAAGCAAATTCGGATTTATAGTATTTACAAGTGTTGCTAACGATTTCAGAGCTGAATGGCTTATGTTATTTTCTATAGCCCACGTTCTAGCTGCATCTCGAAATTGATGAATCTGTTTGTATTGAAAAATCTTTTGACTTGGTTCACGGTCATCATTTTCTTCGAGGTCGGTTTCCTCATAAGTTTCATTATTCCCATTATCATTTTCAGTCGAATTTCCATCACTTATTTTAGTCGAATTTCCATCACTTGTTTCAGTCGAATTTCCATTAATAATTTCAGTTGAACTTTCACTAGGATCATGCCTGAAAAACAAATGTATTGAGTATTAATCTGATAAATAGGTACCTACCTACAACTCGATAATCAAAATACAAATGTTGTCCAGAAGGGTAACTTATGAACATAATAAACTGATCTTGCTTTGCCTACCAACTTTGATAACTGATTTATAAACTTAGAAAAACTTTAACCGTTGAAAATGTACATAAATACAAACCATACCCTATTTTAAATTTATTAAAATGTACGGAACCCGCGATAGTCATAGTAAAATTATCTTGACACAATTGTACAAAACAGAAAGCCTCTAAATTATTATAATCTGCTTGTTTTACCTTTTATTATGTATTTCATTGGTAATTACTTACGTTTCAACAATTGGAGTATCCTCTTTTGGTTGTTTTATAACATTTTCATGGTTTGAACTAGTACCACTTATTTCCACGTCCATTATATTCTTGAATGTACGTGCAATTTGCCGATGATAATTACCACATCTTTTAACTTTTTTCCACTCTACAGTGTTCATTTTGAGTAGTTTTATTTTAGCTATTATGACTTTTTAGCAGAAACTTTGATTGTAATATTAAATGTTAAGAAATGCATTTATATTAAGATTTTCTTTGTTTACGTGCCGTACACTGAATGGCAATTAAAAATAAGCTCTACGTTTCGATCTTTTAGAACCGTTAGATCTTAAGTGGTGGGAAAAAAATGTTGCTTAAGGTTTTCAAGAACCATCTTTTGGAACCGATCTACGCGTTACAGTGGCATATTAGAGTATATTAGTCCTTACAGAGGCAATCACTCTGGGTTCTAAATGAGCTGTAATAATAACTCTTCAGCCACTATAGGTGATAATTTACTCTTATAAACTACTTATTTAGTACTAAAGGTGCCAAATAAGGAAAATTTGCCACCTGATAGGGCGCAGTTCCTTAGGGAGGATTTTAAGATGTCATATGCCTCTTTGAGTTCTTAAATAGAGAAAATTAAAACCTTTATGCGTCTATAAGTAATAAATTCAACCTAATGCCACTGTAAGTAATAAAGCAGGAACAAAAATCACTCAAAAGCATCTGTAAGTGATAAAAGTTACCCATTTGCAAATTCGAGTGCTGTTTGCATCTATAAGTAATACCGTACACTCTTGCATTGCTTATATGCCACCTACAGTTGCAAAATAAGTTCCAAAATTCACTTACGTGCTCCTTGGGAAGGTCTCGTTACATTGCCTTTTTATCTGTCTTGCAAAACCTACTTGCTTGCAGACATCGCAATCGGCTGATTCTTGAGGTTAGTCTGTAGTTAAGCAAGCAAGAGGGAGATAATTGCGTGAGCTTTTCTTGAAGGAATTTATGGCTAAATACTTACTGCGTTCAATGGTTTAAACATAACAGTTTAAGAGAAGTAGTAATGAATAACGCAGTTTTAAGAGGGTACATCTAGTCATACCACTGCAGACAGGTCTTTCTTAATCACTTAATATTTAAAATTATGATGAAATCTGAGGTGGGTATACCTACAAACATATTTGTGGTTTTCCCCGCATCGATATAAAACATGAAATCGGTTTCATATTTTGTGTAATAATATCTAATCGTCTTGTTCTTAGAACTTTGTTGTTGATCATTGTTGTTTTGTTTTGTTTTTATATTCGGTATGTTTTGATCACATGAGGTGGTAAAAAAATATTTTCTTAGGTCGCGTTGTTTTATCGATAGTAAAAATTTTAGTATAGGAAATGCCAGGACATTTACATAGTAAATGAGTAAAATTTTGACAAACGGTTATTTTTTTTTCTATAGGATTTAACTATCGATGAAACAACGTGGACGTCTCCGAGAAACATAGGAATATTTTACATTGACATTTTCTTTGCATTTCTTTTGTATTAATATTGGAAGTATATGATATCAAGTATTTTTCCTACCATCACGAAGAAGCAAAACCGATAAAATTGAAATATGAATGATGGATAACGCATTAAACAATCATGCACAATGATCAGTGACTAACTTTTAATTCGGCAACAATGTTGGCAATCTAAATTTCGTATCGTAAACTATGATATTAAATGTCACGATAACGTTGACTTTGGATAAAACTGGTTTTCAACAAAAAACACTTAAATAAATTCTTGCTATAATAGGTCCACATTGATTCAGCAAAACTTAAGGGAACTGCATACATTAAGTACCACTTACACCATAATTCTTAATTCATTGTTTAAAGTCAAATTGAGATAGGAAAAGGCATAAACATGTTCATATACACCCCAGTACACACATGCTTATAACTAGGGTTACCAACTTTTTTTCCATAAAATATAGTATTTTCGAAACTTTTACCTCTAAAAATATAGTAGATGTCAAAAAAGGGAAAAATATAGTAAGTGGTTAAAATATTTACTTCATTTTTGAAATGAATATAGTTTTGCTGCAATATGACTAAATAATTAAGTTTTTATTTTTAGGAAAGCTCTTACTAGCAAAGATCTGGTTAAAGCAAAATATAGTAGTAGTTTGGCCTACTATATATTTTTTTAGAAATATATTTGTTCCCCGAATAAAGTAGGATACTATATTATATAGTAGAGTTGGCAAACCCAGTTATAACCTTTACAAAAGATTTTGAAACAATCAGCTTATTGCCAACATTAAAACATCCAATGTCCTAATAACGATAATAATATCACCCAAACGGATGATTATAATATAATGTTGTAGTGTATAATGTAGTTGTATTTGATAATCTTTACCGCGTAAAAAAGGTTTACACATCAAAGAGTCACGATTTTTACTGCTCGATGCGTAGTATCTGCAGATGCTGTATATTTCTTTACTCATGTGGATTCTGTATGCATTTCAAAAAAAACGAGCGAGCCTTACAGAAGTCGCGTATGATGAGTAACATTTGAAACCTCACCTTATATTAGTAAAAAAAGAAATAAAACCTACGACAAAAGGAATAAGCCATATGTACATTATGTTCTAAAATCAAATCAAATAGCGCGCGCTTTCGCGACTTCCTGTTACATACTTCCGTCCCATTTCACGAAATCACTCCCACAAATTGCAGGAAAGCGAGAGGAAAGATGTTACACATCAGAAACCGGCCAAGTGCGTATCGTGCCACGCGCAGTGTAGGGTTCCGTAGTATCTTTTCAACGATAGTGCGATTCAGAAGCCGTTGATGTTGGTACACGCGGTAGTTTTGTTTAAGTAATTATATTTTATTGTGGTCTTTAAATAGTTTTTTTTAGATTTTGTTTTTCTTTGCAAAGTTTTACGCTCATCTTTGTTACTTTTAATATTTTCTTTTAAGGAATTTTCTTTATGTAAGAAAATTTCTTTAACAAAATTGAAGGGCTATTACTCATAAACTAACAAATCTATTTTAACTGCTATAAAATTAGGACTTTTAAGTTCAATATTTCGCAAACCGATCCCTTAATCGATAAATAATCTTAAGAACACCGAAGTTATTTTAAAGGACCCATTCAAAAGAATGAAAAAAAAAACATCCCCAGCTACCCTAAAAACATTTATTCTACCATTTTCTCGGCGTGGTTGATATACATATCTCCACAAAATTACAGCTCTCTAGTGCTAACAGTCTCCAACAAAACCAGGGACGGGCAGACAGACGGACATGACGAAGCTATAAGGGTTCCTTGTCAGGTCTACGGAACTCAAAAAAGCCCATTGTCATTCACGCGCGTTAGAACGCTCCATGCTTTCAGAATCTTTTTTATAGGACTCATATCAGGGGGGTGTAGCTAAAGTCTTGTATGCGACATCATAATTAGGTATTAAAACACTCATGTGATATTTTTAATTAACTCACATTCGTGTTTTAATACCCCACATTATAGAGTACCTAAGTTCAATTCAATTCAATTTATTGCACTCATGTGGTTACATAGATGGGTATAAGTTGCATAAATAACTTTATGAGCTTTTAAATCTATCTTCTCATATATATATAAAACTCAAAGGTGACTGACTGAATGACATAATGATCTATCAACGCACAGCCCAAACCACTGGACGAATCGGGCTGAAATTTGGCATGCAGGTAGATGTTATGACGTAGGCATCCGCTAAGAAAGGATTTTGATCAATTCTGCCCCCAAAGGGATAAAATAGGGAATGAAAGTTTGTATGAAACTTTGTCAATTATGAACCGATCGGGCTGAGACTTTGCATGCAGGTATAAGAAGAATCATAGATGATTGTGATGATGATTGATGTCATTGTGTATAAATACAAGCCTGAGAACAAAAACTGTAGTCTACACTTCAGCTCTACACCGAAGCGAAGCGAGGGCGGGCCACTAGTATGAAATAAGAACTGATGCATGTGGGCCTTTGATGACTCTTTTTCCTGATTTTGATTGGGATGACCTCGAGGACGCGTTGACCTCGGGACATTTTGCGCAGTTTTCATCTGCACTTGCTTTCATCGATCCGGTAAGGTACTTACTCCAACTTGCCTACTCGAGAAGCTTTTGCATATGTTTTCACGAGTGTCTATACTTGTTCATAGCTTCATACAGTTTATAACTTAAGGCTTTAAAAAAAGTATTCTCCCTACTTTCTCTCTGCTCATTCTATTTATTGCTCTATGTAAAAAGGTAAAGAACGGGCTAAACATGTTAAAGTAATGCAAAATCAATTATTTTGCTGTTATATGAACTAAGCATGTACAAGTACAAACGAGTTGTTTTGATGATGATAATTATCTTAACCCTTTAAACGAGTTCTTAATAATTTGTCAAATACGATTTATGGTTTTTTTTTCTACTAATTTTTCTTTAGATTGAATCATCGAGCAGTTACATGCTTAAAAAATTAAAATTATAACTTTAATTGCTATTTCTTCTTTCAAATGTTTAATACTTGTAAAGGTATTCATTTGACATTGTGGGTTACCTATTATGCGAAGAAATGGAGCTGCCTTACAGCTTAAGAATGGTAAGAAAGAATTCGACACGGCCATTAGGGCCGCGGTAGCATAGTGGTTAGTGCATTCACCCGGATAGCGAAAGGTGCGAGTTCGAGATTTCAACATCGAACAGTTACATGTTTAAAAAATAAAAATTATAATAACTATTCAATAATTCTCAGATGTTTATAACCACGAACGAAAACAAAATTAATAGTTTATAAAGTCATCATCTGTCCATCTTTTTTAACATTATGTACGAAACTTGTTCCTTCCTTCCTTAATAGCATTTTTTGTGTTGAGCGCCTAAGCTTTTTTTTACGTTTGGCGTAAATAACCTTGAACGTTTTTATCGTAAAATGTCAGCCGGAGATTGCTTTCTACGCGAAAATAACATCTTTTTATGCTCATAAATAAACTTACAACGTTAAAGAAACTAAAAATGCACAAAATTGATTGTTTCCATGTATGTAAGTTTTATATCAATACGTGAAGGATCTCTATCTATTACATTATAGTTATAAAACTTCTGGGGAAGAGATATCATAGGTCACATTGACACTCGTTTAGTATTTACTTGCCAGGAATTTTCGGAAAAAAATAATTACGTTACGTAGCGCTATGTTGGTTAATACTTCTCATTTGTGTTATTCGATTGCTATTAAATAAATCTACTTTTGAACGAGTAAAAAATGCGTTTTTAAAGACTTTTACACACTCGTGCTACTATTGCTAGCTATCTTCAGGTTACAATATATATGCATATATTTGTATACAATTATAGTTGTATAATAGGGTGAATATTTTAGGTAGTCGGGTACCTCGCATTTGCTGGTTGAATGCATTGGTATAACCTTAAAAACTCTAAGTAGGTTCCTATTTTATAAATCGAATTGAAACAAAAGATATTCAAATCAGCTGTTAAAATATAATTATATTTGAATAGGTGGACTGGATTTTTGCTGTGCGTCAACAATACCTTTAGCGATGTGCGCTGAATATGATCATTCATTATGTGTTTAATTGTTTAACTTTGATCAATTGTTAACATACAATGGGGAAGAATAATTTGTGCATTTTATTTTATATTCTCACATGTAGAATCCGTGTGGGTAATAATAATCTTAATATATATAATTCTTCTGTGAGTGTGTATGTCACTGAACTTCTCTTAAACGACTGGACCGATTTTGATGAAATTTTTTGTGTGTGTTCAAGGGGATCTGAGAATGGTTTAGATTCACAATTTTGTCCGCTGGACAACCCCTAT